TTGGCGTTTTGTATGGGAGGAACAAAAATAGTTTTTCTTTTAAAATAGAATTTATTTACTAAAATAGCCATTCGGTTTTATTAGTAAAGACCTAATGAGCACCTATAAGATGGCAAAAGTGCATAGATAGCTAGTGCATAGATATTTCATATGTATAATATTTAGTTTTGTATAGGGAACACGGGTCAAAAGTTTTCATACAAAAATATACCTGTGCGAGTACTTTATATTTAGTGTAGTTTTAAGTTCTGCATTGTATTTTTAGATTTCTAACGCCGCGCCAGGTTGTGTGGAAGAAACTGCTTTAGACGGAGACCGCCCATTTACATCCTTTGTCGTTTTTTCTCGCATCTTTTGATATTATGATGTTAATAAAGTGTTGTTTTTCTTCTTTTTTTGTCTTATAATTTAAAAAATTTACTTACCGTATGCGGTACATCCTGGGTATACACAATAAGATTCCCTTTGACATAGGTAAGAAAGCCTAAAAGGCCTAGGAGGCAGGTGTTGATTGACTGCTGCATTTTTACTGCATTACCGCTTAACTGCAAGGTGAGTTGCTAAGGATTCTTCTTTGTTGATACTGTCTCATTGTTCTATGCACTGTAACAATTTCAGGTAAATTTTATCAAAATTATTCTATATGTGACTAAGTACTGTAAACTTTATTACTCTATGGATCAGATATCTAAACTCGCTCTATGTAAACTTCAATTCTGGAGCAAAAATTGATGTTGCCTCATGCACAGGGGGGCTTACAAGACAGCACTTTATAATATACCAGTGAAGAAATGACTCTTAGAGTAGGGATTACATTTTTGCAGGTTTCACATCAATTGGCTGAGTCTCCAGTTTTAAGCATCAGTAAAGGTAATTTTTACCCGACTTAAAAATCCAACAATATTCAAGGGAGTTTGCAATTCCATGTGAACTTGCATGCAAAATAGAAAAAATATAAGCAATATATGAATAATTAATTATGTAAATAGTCTAAGGATACTGGTTTAAAAATATATTTTCTACTTTATTCCATATTTTTAAAGGTTAAGTTCATTCTTAATACCAAACAGTAGTATTGTCATTATTTTATTTATGTTCAGATTAGCTTGACAACTGATAAGATCTTGCTAATGAGTGGAGAAAGCACCAGATGTTGTGTTTGTTTTTGAGAGACTTAGCTGAATTTTGCATCATCAAACTTATTGTCTATAATTTTGACTAACTCTGTATAGAATAAAGATATTTCCATAGAATTATTTACAGTAATGTCAAAGAGAGAAGCTTTATTTTTTATAACATACAAAAAACATCAATTGTTTTGAGTCTTTTAAAAACCTTATCCAGTAAACACATATATTTCCTTGGGGGATATTTATACACAAGCTAAGTCATGGACAGGTAATACTTATATAATGGAAGCAAAATCTGTATTTGATTCAGAAAGAAGTTCAACCTGTGTAAGTACAAAATTTACCCCACTTTCTTTGTCAACTATATGGTTATTCGCAAAGAAGTAGTGAAAATAAAGACAAGATAATTACAAAAATCTAGTTTACTTTATCAACATATTTTTATAAGAGTGATAAAAACATCATTTTGCATGTTTTATTAGTGTTAATCAATTGAGTGTTAATATGTAGTAATAAAAGCTGTAATAACAACTTAATTAAACAAATGAGTAGTCAAATATTGTACACAACAATTTTTTTTACAGTTTTTATGTATGACGAGGTAAATCTTTAATATATTTAGTTATTATGTTTTATCTTTGCATGCATAATAGATATGAGAAATTATTTAAGCCAAATGTTTTGAAAAATTAAATATATGTAGGTTAATATATATTATTCTAATTAAAATAAACTTCACATAAATTACATTGATCAAATATTAGTGCCAATTAATACTAAACTGGGCCAAAGATTTAATTTATAAGTCTGACCTATATTTATTTTTAACCTTTTAAGGAACAGTATAATACCTACTGAGTAGGTATTTTTTTTTTTTTGTGGGCTCACAGAATACCCATTACATCAATCATATCAATTCATTTACAGATTTGTCCAGCAGTATTGCAGTATTAGATAATATCATTTATTATAAGCATGAGTACAATAATCACAGGAGCTTCACAGGCTTCCCTTTCTAGGTCTTTGTGTTTATCCCTGACCGAGGCAAAGGTTACTAGAACCTTGCATTCTAGACAGGATTAGTATCAATGTTACATACTAACCACATTATACTAAAAACCTTACATATTGTAAGCCAGCAAAAGGATGTAACACATATTTTTGCAATTATCATTAACTAGCATAAGCCCACGACATTGTTCATATAGAACTTTATGGCACTGACATGGTTTTCATTTTATAATAATAGGGAAAATAAGTGGTAAGTCTAATGTAAGGAATGCAAAAGCTAAACAGGAAACTATTTAAAAAAGAAGTCAACTGGAAAGTGAAATACATACATTTAACTAATATAATCTTAATATATATATTTCTTGTGTGCGTGTGTATGTGACTGAACTTCTCTCAAACGACTGGACCGATTTTGATGAAATTTTTTGTGTGTGTTCAAGGGGATCTGGGAATGGTTTAGATTCACAAATCAGCCCGGCAGATGGCACTGCAGTCGGTACTTTCATACTTTGCTTAATATCCTAATCGCTTTAAATATCATGCAGGACAACGTCTGTGGGCTCCACTAGTATTTATATAAAACTAAGAAATACTATTTGCAATAATTCTAAAAATAGCAATGAATGTATTTAGGAAATGAGTTGAAGTAATAAATGTTAGTTTTTTTAATACACTTATGTTACTAAAAGTAAACAAAATCAGTAATGAGATGAACAAAGACCAATTAAAAATGAATATACATACCTACATCCACTGTGCACTATACAATGTGTTTGATGCAATAAGTTTAATGTGAAATGAAGCAGGCACAATTAATATGTGAATTCTTCATTACGCATGACTAGCCCTGTGTTAAATAATCAACAGCATTTCATAAACATTGTATTTGAAGACTACACTACACTTATCAAAACATCTTTAAGCACAGAGATAAAGATTGCCTGGGATCGGTCGTATAATTTTCAATGGTATAAAAACGTGTTTTGCGAATGATAACAAAGCAGTTAATAACACAACAATCTAATGTTACTGCGACTTAAACGTCGCAACGAATGAAGTAACTATCTAATATAGGACACCGAGCCTAGCTCTAATCTAATTTAACAATGAAACAGACACAACATCAACGAATCACGTGTATAAAGCAAAAACAAAATGATCGTGATATTAAAATGACCACTATACATAGTCGTCCTCCATAATTTATGCAGTACTAAAAAAACAATAATTTAGACTTACTGTAACTTTGATTAAAAGGCTCACTTTGGTATACGGAACAACGAAGAATTTTTGCAAAAGTGTAAGGTTTTTAAGAATAATTAAATAATTATAACACAAAGTTTTAATTGCGACTGATCACTCATCGCCAGAAAATTGTGTCAAACTCAATTTCAAAATTATTTAATTTATATTCAAGTGTCATTTGTTGATTGTCAAAATAACAAAGACAACTAGGTATTAAAATATGTCAAGTGATGTACATTTGGCGCTACAAACTTTTTAGTAGTCTGTAGTAATAATAGTTTTGAGGAAAAAGCAATTTTTTGAGGAGCTTTGAAGTATTCCTTCTTTAACGGAATCGTCAACCTTGCGATAAAATTTATATTGTAATAACAATATTAACATTCGGAGTTGGGGAGCATGAAATAATTCACCTTTTATTTAAAAGCGTTTATTCACACGTTATACACACACACACTATACTACGAAAATTCTAACAGTCAGGTAAGTAAAGTCCTTAGATCTTATTCTACAAACTACGAGAAACGGATCTAACAGATGCGAGAAATGCTTGGTTAGCATCCGACCCAAGCTTGAGTTTGTCTTCTAGCGTCAAGGAGCTGGGAAGATACTATTCGTAAATCTGAATACCAAAACTCATTAGGTCACACCTCAATTACAGACCGCGCATTGGGGTCTAGGGAGCCAGTCATTGGCTTAGTGCTTATCCTTCGCCAAACACTGGCACCCTTTTGCATCCTAAAACACTTCGCATTGCCATCGGCCTTCGTGTGGAGTACTCATAATATGTACTCCACATTAGTGTCCTTGTGGCTTTGAAGTAAGTAGCATTGTGTCCAAATGCTACTTACTTACCATGGCTTCCAATGCCAAAAGAGTGCAGGTCGTTGTTCTCGCCATGCCGCGCTCAACGACATCCGACGCAGCTTCTTTCTGTTCCCTGTCAACGTTCCAGCCATTTTGGAGCCAACAAGCATCGACGATGGCAAGCGGCCGGGTGGAATATCTTTGATCCCTTGGAGGATGGGACGGGCGTTGGTATGGGATGCTACTTGTATGGACACGTTAGCCCTATCTTACCGCCCTCGGACAAGCACAAAACCTAGAGCCGCCGCAGAGCAGGCGGAAAATAACAAACGGCTCAAGTATAAGAGTATTTCCTTCCACTTTGATTGTGTTCCCTCTGGAGTAGAGACTCTTCGGCCATGGGGCTCAAGTGCACATGCGCTAATTAATGATTTATGTTAGTGCCTGGTAGATAGTACCGGTGATCCCAGAACTGCCTTGCGATTCTGTAACACACTTTTCGAACTCTCACAGCGGTTTTCGCAGCGGCGGTCGCGCTCAAATTAAAGAGGTAAGTTAGTATATCTATTCTAAGTATATAACATATCGTCTAATGTAAAAATATTAGAATTCCAGAAATAATATGTTGTTATCATATCAATTAGACAATTATTTATCTATTAGTGATTAAAAACCATATTGAAATATTTAAAATTTAATCACATTATTGCAATAGGTACCAATATTATCTTATCAAAAACGATGTGGATTGTGTGATTTATTCTCAACACTTTAACAGATCAGTACAAAGCGTTATATAGTGGAAGAAAGATGGACTACGTAAGCTCTAGTGAAATCAAAGAAGTCGAAAATAAACCGGTAAAATAAAAATTAATTCTCTGCTGGCTGATAAATTGCTTTTATTTTTAAATCTTAAAAATAAATATTGTTGTATTAAACACATACTAAGTTACTAGCGGTCAAAAAGATTGCCGACATAAAATATAAATAAGTTTCTGTAAAACATGTACATCCTTGCGATTCTCGATAATCGTAAAATGACTGTTTCACGACTGATTTGAGCGCGACCGCCAGTGTGAAAACCGCTGTGTGAGTTCGAAAAGTGAGTTACAGAATCGCAAGGCTGGTCGCATATTATATGCTTAAAGTTGACGGCTTTTTAAATAAAACTTTATGAATAAACGTCGATTTAGATTGAAAACATTGAGTTTTATTTATATATTATGTTGTACATAAAAAGAACAAATTTGTTGGTATCCAGAAAGGTCTTATAATTCTCGCTAACCCACACGACATTCTGAGATGGTCCTAGACGGGAATTATGTATTATATAAATAAATAATTAATTGTTTAAGACAAAGTGAATACATCCAGACAAGAAAGAACGTTTAAGTTTTGTGACGATCGAATTTTCAATTAAAATCTCAGGCGAGTGTCTTCGTTATCGTAATAATAATTGCGATAGCAATTAAATTCAAATTCAAATTCAAAAATCATTTAATCATAACAACATCCAACAGGTAACACATCGTACACTCATGACTTGTCAGTAAAGAAATGCATATTAATGCTTCTAATTTTACATTTAGTGCCAGTTCTCAAATCAAGGGCGTAGAACGGAAGAGAAGAACTGGCAATAAACTCTCCACCACTCTTTTTAATAGCCATGTTTTTTTTACACAACGTTTGTAACGAGCTGCAACCATTAAACCATGTTCCACATGACATCTTAAGTAATTAATAATAATAACATAAATTAAAACAAAGAGTTGTCCTCCATCAGCAGGAGGCATGGTGAAATAGGAGCACGCACTTACATTCTCGTGGGAACAACACGCAAACACATAGTCGAAATAACAAGTATAGTTAAGCCATATTTTTGTTGACTATATATAAATGCTTATATATTTTAGAAAACAATAGAAGATGTTAATGTTGCGTTGGAAAGTGTTATACAGCACGCTGGAGAAATGGGACTTTATCAGAAATTGTTGTTTTTTGCGATGTTCCCATTTGCCATTATGTGGACTTTCGTTTATTTCGGACATATGTACCTAACGCTGACGCCAGAACATTGGTGCAAAGTACCGGAGTTAGAGGGACTGGAAGCGGAATTAAGGTAAACTTATCACCTAGTGGTAACCCGCGACTTTGCGTAAATATTTATTTCACGGTCATATAAGATATCCGGGGTAGAATTACAATTGAGAAATTACATCGCATCCAATAATTCGATACCGAATTTCTTAGGTTTTATTTTGCGGTACCTTCTGAGGCACAAAGTAATGAACATTAAACTGAGCAATGCTCTTTGCTGCAAAATTGTATAATGCAAAATTTGTCGTTTAATTCTAAATTTATACCACATTTTTTTTAATTTTGCAGTTTGCAAATTCTATTATTACGGCAAACCTTTTGTTGAATTTTTTTAGTTTTATTAAATTTAAAAGTAAATAGTTTAATTATTATTAACTAATAACTAAATTAACTACTAGTATTTGCCTCAGGAAAAGTTGCATAAACATCTGTGTACCAGTCTTGTTTATAAATGTACTTGAAACTAAAAATATAATCATTAAAAAGTTGCTGAAAATGGGAGTTGGGAACTAACTAGAGTACCTAGTTATAGTAATAGTACTTATGTGAATTTCAATACCTCTTATTGGCCATCCACTCTCTCCACGAGGCGAGGGAACGTGAAGTGAAAAACAAACACCAGCCTTGCGATTCTGTAACTCACTTTTCGAACTCACACAGCGGTTTTCACAGCGGCGGTCGCGCTCAAATCAGTCGTGAAGCAGTCATGTTATGATTTGGCATTCTAATAAGGAGGGAGCTTGTAGTTTATTGTTTATCAGAATGCTAAATCGTAAAATGACTGTGAGAGTTCGAAAAGTGACTTACAGAATCGCAAGGCAGGCATTATAATATTGGTAGGCACATAAAGTAGCTAACGCATTCCAATCACGACTATCTTGTCGTAGATGTAGCAAGCAACTAAATAATTAATAAACCGAGAGTACAGTCTCGACTAGCCAATAGTCGTGGCGACAGCCTCTGTGTGATGCCACTCGAGAGCCTGGAGTCAGCTTCAAGTACATTTTTTAATATTTCAGGCGATCATTATCAATTCCTATGAATTCTGCTGGTAGCTATGAAAGATGTAGAATGTTTGACGCTAACTGGACTCAAGTTTTGGAGACTTTACAACCACCTGATGAAGGAACACCTTTGATATTATGTAACAATGGTTGGGAGTTTCTCTTTAACGTTATACCCTACGAGACTATTGCTACTGAGGTAAGTTTCTAATAGAGTTATCATTTGTACTTCATAAGTTTAGAGCACCTTGGCGATTTATAACAAAAAAGTCGTGGCGCTACAACCTCTTTAGGTCTGGGCCTCAGATTTCTGTATCAGTTTTATGATCATTTTTCAATCTAATAGGCAAGTAGGTGATCAGCCTCCTGTGCCTGACACACGCCGTCGACTTTTTAGGTCTAAGGCAAGCCGGTTTCCTCACGATGTTTTCCTTCACAGTTCGAGCGAATGTTAAATGCGCACCGTTCGAGCGAATGTTTATTGGCGATTTACAAAACTCGCTTAAATAAACCTTAACTTAGACACACAGTTATTTCTTTGATATTTGTTATTATAATGTAGGTAATAGATATACAAGTAGGTAATCAATATTAGTTTCTGCACACTTTATTGCTTTTTTTACCCTAAAATTGTGCATATAGAAAACATTATATATGTTTAATGAACGAGGTTCGTAGACACATCCACACCGTCGAGAATCTCATGCTTAGTAACTTGTAGCGACACCTACAATCCGTTGTAATCACTACGATGACGTCTTACCACTAACAAAACTATTCCGGCCGCTAATATACAACTTCTGGACATGAGCCACTGGAGCCTTCGGGCTAGCCAGTGAGTGGACTGACGGGTGAGGGTCCATCCCTTTAGGTCGGAGGAAGAGCACCTTCCTTCGTCCACAAACTAAACCCTCATATAGCGTTTCAAGAACAAGTAAATTATTTTAAAACACAACGTGTACATCTGGAACAGCTGGGGTTGTATAGTGTTAATATAATGATCATTATAATGCATTAAGAACTAAGCAATGAGACAATTTAAATAAGTAGGAGGGCAACAGGTGAATGTATATTTGAATAGTAGTGCTTAAGAATAAGCATGACCGAATAAAAACTGACATTTCTTGTTCTTACTGGCGTATTCCAAATGCTCTATATCCTGAAATTCTTTAGTAGGTACTTGTAAACTATCTCACATCGGTATTATTACAAAACATTCTAATTTAGGTCTAAACTAAGTCATTAATACCAAAAAAGTATTGCACACAATTTATGAGGTATTTTATTTTAGAGGGAATGGGTTTGCAATAAAGCGAGTTACATACCAATAGTAACAACTTTCGGTTTTGCCGGAACCTTATTGGGCGTTATGACACTTGGAGTGCTTGCTGATTACTTTGGGCGTGTTCCTCTTATTATAGGTAAGTATTAAAAAATAATTTTCGCTTAATGTAAGCAACTTTCCTTTTTAAACTGATTATCCTATCTAATATTCCTAATTGGAATTGATTTAAAAATGCTAGAACTGCTCATGTTATGCAATCCTAACCCATTCAACTGTTAATTGGCATTCCGATCCCGATTTCAACCTCAATAGTGAGTTTTAATTTTACAAAACAAATTCAAATGTGGTCGTACTGTGCTATATAATATTCGTAGCGTTACTTGGATACTCTAATATTAGTGACCTACCTACACCGAAATTGGGTTTGGTTACGTATAGAGTAAATCACTGAAATTGCTATTGGACTTACGGGATAAGCTTGCTAGTTTCAAAGCAAGGCGAAGGCGGTAACCGCGTACGTATAAATGTCATCAGCTCCTATTTTCTCCTTTCTCTTTATTTATTTACTGCAATTGAGATAATTTTTTCCGTATAACAATGAGGTAATTTCTATCTATATAATCGTACAACTACTGGAAACCAGATAAGAATCAGATTAGGTAGATTGTATTCAAGCCTAAGGGTGCGTCCACATCTGGCGAATGCGCCGCGAATGTGCAGCGCATGCAGTCACGACAATGGTGCGCCTCTTTAGCGCAACTCATGCAAGGCTCGTTAAAGACGCGCGCGCGGCGATCTGCGAGCGCCGTGCCATATTCGCCAGATGTGGACGCACCCTAAGAGTTAATAGTTTTCGAAGATTAATCGATAACGCCTGTCAAACTATTATTTTAGCGCCTAAAGAAAAAGTGTAGGCGACAACGTAATACATTTCCGTAAGTAATAAAATACAATATTGACTAGGCTCGGAGTCGTTTCACCAATATTATAATGTAATAGTAGTTGCACGTATCCCAGGTAGATTGCGTGAAAAGTTTTGACGACGTTGATTTAGTGAACGTTAATTTTATCGATTTTGCTTTTGCAACGGGCAATAACAGCTTACTTCTAGGAACACACAAAAATAAGAATAAAAACTATTGTACATCTTTAACAGGCAAACACTGCATGGTTTACCCTAAATATTTTTTTATTAAGAGAATTCTTACAAACTATAAATTGTGATCTAAAAAGCGGGAGATATAAATGATAAGTTATTGCAAAAGATAGCTCTGCAAAACTCTCAGTAAGAAAGGTGGAATGGATCGATTTCAGGGGAAATTTATTAACTAACTTACACATCCTAGCAATAGCAACACACCAGAAACAACCGTGAAAAGTATGTCAATGCTGTAATTAACAGCACTATCACAAACTTCGTATTAATCGTCGAACATATTTATATATTTTGTGCATGTGTGTGTTACTCTAGATAACCATTATTATTTGCAACTAATTTTGACTCTTAAGCACAAAGCCTTTTGAGCTAGTGTACGTTAAGTAACTATAAGTAAAACTTATTATAATTTAAGTGTAGTGTGTAAGGTGTTATATAAGTACTAGGTTTATAAGGCAGTTCTTTAAAGACTCTAGTGGATTTTAAGTTATGTAAAAAAACACTTGTATTTTATATAAGACTAAACTGTTTATTAGCTTAAATAACATATATTACAGTTGAATTAAAGTTTAAAAAAAATGTGATTTACATTTTAGAAAAAAAATCCAACGCAAAAGGACAACACCGTGTATTATACTTAAACAAATACTCATAATTGAAATACAAAATTAAAAAAAACCAGGAACAATTGAATTTGGCTATCCACAGACTTGCACAAAGCAGAAAAAGTAGAGAAAAATTCTTTAAATACATCTTAACAGAGGTTTAATGTATTTGAAGCTAAAGGTTTTAAACAGACACAGGTGCATAGTAACATTTCAGTGGCCAATTTATGTGGGTTTTTGGGCGGTGTAGGAACTTTATTCACGACTGGCTTTTGGGACTACGCAATTTGCAGATTTATTGTTGGCCTTAGCAACAATCAATGTTTTATGCTTATGTACATCTTAGGTAAGTTAATAATGAAATAATATAAACAGCACAAAAAAATATTTTCTAATCTAATTATATTCAAGTATTATTAATAATAAAGATTTTTTACTTTAAGTCGAACACAACCTTACCTGTCCATCACCAGGATTTGGAATCGATCAATCGAACCAATTCGACTTAGAAAAGAGACTCTTGAATTCTTTTATGGCAGTGTCTATCGCTTAACATCACGTGAGCCAAATTGCCCCTGTTCTATTAAAAACAACTGCCACCTTATTGGCCATCCACAATCAAAACTTCACAGATTTTTGGGTATCAAAATTATAATTTTCAGTATTGGAATATGTGGGTTCCAGCCACCGTACGTTAGTAGCTAACATGTCTATTGCATTGTTCTTCGGTAGTGGATGCCTTGTGCTACCGTGGCTGGCTTACGGTATAGCCGACTGGAGAATTCTGCAGATCGTTATGGTGACACCAATAGTAGCAGTAATTGCAGTGCCATTTTTGCTACCTGAAAGTGCAAGGTATGGTTTTCTCTCACCCTTTATCTGTTATTGGGTATGTGTTACGTCCAGTGAAAGCTTGGCCGAATCATCTCTTCGAGACTTAACGTGACCACGCGATTGATAATCTCACAATCATCGCACGGGCAGATGATGTTAGCGCTAAATCTAGAACGTTTAGAATCACACCCTGATACCAAAGTGCTTAGTCTCGACACTGAATCTAAACGCTATTTTAAGCAAACCTGTAATCTCATTGCGGTTAATGATATCAACAATATAAATTATAAAGGCCAAAAGAGAATAAATAACGTAGAACTCAAAGTCGTCTAGTTTCCTAATTAATCTTGGTGAACTGTTAAAATCAATCATTTATGTAACCTTTAACTCTTAATGAATGAATAGAAGTAGTATTTAAACTTTTAGTAGGAGACTTGGTATATTTGAAATGATATTTTCAGATGGTTGTCAACGACAGGGAAAGTAGACAAGGCTTTAAAAATGATAAGAAGAGTTGAAAAGGTCAACAAAAAGGAAATACCTCAAGACGTGATTGATCATTTTATGGTACGCCAATCTTTCAATTATTTTATGAATTTACTTCCTAATAAGAAGGCGAGTTATTAACACGTTCACTGCGGCAAGTAAAATCATAATTCTTCATCAGGTGCGGCGGCGGGCCAAAATGCGCCCCCAATGATATTTCCGCCGGTGCGTGGCAGGTCTTTCTAGACCCAACAGCACTAGGATATATTAAATTGCTATAACTTTGTGGAAACATAATGTATAATATTTTTTTTATATTGTTAGAATGACCTTGAACCCAACTTCCTTAGGTTTGATTCGCCCCGGGATCTGGCAAACAGGAAATGAGAAATAAAGCAGAAAAGCGGCAGGCCGATATCGACCTGAACCGCACTAGATTATATTTTTAGTAGTGATGGGACAGAGAAATAAGGGGATATCGAAAATAAAACAGAATTATCGTAAAAGAACTGAAAATGTATTTATTTACTTATGTATGCCTGTCTTGGAAACAGAAATACTTTTTATTTTTCTTAGTGGAAAATATTTATTCACTGCTGTCACTATCACTGTCAATAACTGCAAGGAGAATTACTCTATTTTCCAAAATTTGTATTTTTCTTGTATTGCTTGCCATCGTTGATTATATCGAACGCTACTTTAGATCAGTTAGATAGCACAACACTAACTGGCCGGGCGCGCGCTCTGTGCGGTATCGGGTCGCCAGCTGCCTGTTGGGTGGGCGGGCTTTAATAGGCCCACTGCCGCACTCAGCGGATGCACAGCAGCGTCAGTGCGTGGTAGGTCGATAAAAGCCTGCCGTTATGTTTTGGTGGGGAAAACCTACAATTTTGACAGCAAGATGAAATATATATTTATCCCTGTCGAATTTTAACAAACACCTGAGATAATCGTTACGCACCAGCGAGAGGGACATAGATTTCTTCGTCCGCACCAGCTGAAGTACCGCGGCAGGCCGATATCGGCCTGTTACGCAGTGAACGTGTTAAACTGTCATGGAAAACATTAGTTAATCGGTTGATTAATGGATAAACACCTGAGCGTTTTACTGAGATACAATTATTAATTTACCACCTCTTAAAGCTTAGAATGTGATCAGTATTTTCTTATTTATTGTTCTATTTTAGACGGAGATGCTGTTGTTTAAAGTCCATGTTAAACCATGATTGGAATGAAACCGAAATCTTCAGATTTATTAGACGTTAGATGAAATGGAAAATTTATTTATTTATGTCTATATAACTACCCTAAAAGCTAAATACCTAAAATAAATAAATCGTTTATTTACAAAGAAAGTGATACATTTAGATCTATCTAATATATAAAATTCTCGTGTCACAGTTTTCGTTGCCATACTCCTCCAAAACGGCTCGACCGATTCTCATGAAATTTTGTGTGCATATTGGGTATGTCTGAGAATCGGACAACATCTATTTTTCATCCCCCTAAATGTTAAGGGTAGTCCACCCCTAAATATTTTTTTTTATTTTTAGATATTTTTTCTGTTTTTTTTTATGATACAGCATTAAAAAATACATACAAACCCCTAACTTTCACCCCTCTACGATCAACCCCTATTTTTTTATTATAAATGATATACATGGTGATATATATGTATATGGCAAAACGACGTTTGCCCGGTCTGTATGTATATAAAAATGAATTGCTGTTCGTTAGTCTCGCTAAAACTCGAGAACGGCTGAACGGATTTATCTTATCTTAGTCTTGAAATATTCGTGGAGGTCTAGGGAAGGTTTAAAAGGCGAGAAAAAATCTAATAATTTCTATTTAGAGATGACATGTCTGAGGATGTTTTGCATCGTGTGCGCCGTGAAACTTTGAATCCTTCACTAAAAATGACTGAAGAAATTTACAATGAGACATTGATCGTGATAGAAGATATGTGTTATTCAATACGTTTTGTTTGTTTTGAAATTAATTTATACAAAAGTTCAGGTCTTTTATTTATCGATTGAGGCAGTACGATCTGCCGGGTCAGCTAGTTTATTATAAAAATCCACACAATCAGCCATATAAAAGTTGGCATGCAAATGTCATATTAATTTTCATAATGTCATATAATAAGAATATTAACATAATGTCATAATAATAAGTTAAGCTATTTATAATAATTGTTAGAAAAGTTAAGGTCTAAAGGCCTTTAAAAATTTAATCACTTCCACTTGAAAGCATTACACGGCAGTGATCTATAACTTCTAGGAAGGTGATTAAATAGTTTGATAGTGGCGTAACAATTTAATAAATCATGGTGCAACATGTACCCACAGCCGTGTTGGATCCCTCGGTATATACAGGCAAGTTTCTTTAAATGTATTGAAGAATCTTGGCTTTTTAACAGCTATAACTGCTTCAAGGATATATAAACTTGGTACTGCCAGATACCAAGTTCGTCAAAAAGGTCTCCAGCTTACGAGAGGGCAAACGACCATAATACTTAATTTGCCTGAAACAGCTGCAACCTATTGGTTGATTTAATTTTTAGGCATAAGTTTTCCAGCACTGTAGCTAAAGTTGGTAATAAAGTTATAGGTCTGTAGTTTCTAATATCCTCTTTAATATGCTTTTCAAACATAAGTTTCACTATTGATAGTTTTAAAAATACATTGTCTAAAAGATATATTTATGAGGTGGGTAAGGATTTATTCGGTATTATGCGTAACATTAGCAACAAAAGTGAGTTCACTTTGAGAACGTATACAAATATCGTTTGTTTTGGAGACAGTATTTAGCACTCGCAACGGCTTTTTTAAGCCGGCCTGGACCCACAAACTCGTTCTGCCCCTAGGAACTGCAAATAACCACCGTCTCGAATAGCCGTATGGTACAAATAAACTGAGTTCTTGCAGAACACTTAGATTATTAATTTAATTAAACTTTTTGCAGGAAGTAAGCAAAGAAAAACCTGCTTCAGAAGCAGGTGTACTGGAATTCATTAAGACACCAGAATTACGACTGACCTCAGTCTTATTGATCGTAGCCATAATGTCTACGACGTTAACTTTTGATACTGTATTGAGAATGTCAGAGAATATTGGCTTGAACGTATTCATCACGTTTACAATATCGGCTGCTACAGAAGTACCATCTACATCGTTGTTGGTTTTCTTGTTAGACAGGTAAGAACGCTGGCCAGGAATGTAAAGCACCCAAAACTAATTTAAAAAGGAACTTTTAATACATTCAAGTTTTTTTTACTAAAGAGAATCAATGTTACTCTCTTGGTTTATTGTGTCAAACTTAACTCTGAGTGTAGTTGTTTTAGAACTTAAACGTTTGCAGAGTATCTAATATTGTTGTTGGTTTAATATACATTTAAATTAAATTTTTTGAATGGATATAAACGCAAAGTTATTACCTTATAGTCCGGTCAATTTAGACATTCGAAGTTACATAAAGTCCCAACCAGCTGAATTTCTGTGAAATTGTTCAAAACATAATTATAAACAATGTCTAGAAGTTCCCCATCATTCCCGTGTAAGGAAAAAAAAAATATTCAAGGGCAAAGGTAAAAAAATGAGTTTTTCGCGATTTTCAGCAAAACGGTTAGTTTTATCATAAAAGTACCTCAAACAAAAATTGTACTGACGACTGGCCTTGACAATTTGTGCATGCCAAAGAACAAGACAATCCGACTTTTTTGCAACCACATTTTGCACTGCATCCCTTTTTGCAGTTGCAAAAAATAGTGTTCAGCAGTTTTTCCGGCGCAGGTGGAAGTAAAGTTTGAACTGGCTCTAATATAATATTGTTGACCAACTTCAAACCCCAGTCTGTAGGGTCTAACTGATAACCAAGCCACACTTGAACTTGGTAATATACTCGAAAAAGATGTTGGTGAGCAACTGAGGTTGGAGGAAGACAAGCTAATTGAACTTGTTTTCTATTTTTAGTATTTTTAACGAAACATGCATATCGATGCTTATCTAAACAGGTAGTTTTTTTAGGAGCTCCGTACATAGAAAGCGGATGCCGTTGGTAATAACTTCTTGTTGAGTTGAATTATTATTTTTAAAAACTTCAGCACATTAAATTAAATCTTGTTTTTCAAACATTTTGAAAACTGCTGTTTTACCCCGCCTGTAAAATGCAGATATCGTATCACAGCCAGTTATTGCGTTTTAAAATAGTACATGATCTTGACACTTTACAAAAGTAAATAAACTTTTTGATGAATATACATATATCTGATTGATGCTGAGGTTTTTCCTGGTTTTAAGAAATAAATAGTTTTTTCAGTTGGCGTTCGAGCAGTGAGTAATACAAGTAAGTCAATATCTTCACCAACAACAATAGTTGTATTTGTCAAATTGAATTGCTCTATTGCTGTTTCAATATTCAATACATCAGCATCATTATAACTTTTATAACTTTATTAATCTACAATTTTTGCCGAAGGTACTTTTATGATAAAACTTACCGTTTTGCTGAAAATCGCGAAAAACTCAATTTTTTTTACCTTTACCCTTGAATAATTTTTTTCCTTACACGGGAATGATGGGGAACTTCTAGATATTGTTTATAATTATGTTTTGAACAATTTCACTGAAATTCAGCTTGGGACTTTATGTAACTTCACTCTCATTTTTTGGTCTAAATTGACCGGACTATTAAGTAAGTTGTAAGTAAAAATGTATTAAATTCGGAAATTGTTACATCTTGTAACTAAATGTATTTTAATTTAGTAGATATTTTTAATTAAAGGTTTGGACGACGGTGGCTTGTCTTTTGTCCAACTATTGCAACAATAGTCCTCAATATGACCAACGCATTTGTCACAAACAGTAAGTTTCCAATACCTTTCTATACGAATTGCTTAGAGAATTAATGTTGAACTATTCCTGATTAAGTCGTAAAATATATTTTATGGTTCCATAATTTTTCTTAAATATTTTGTCGTCGCCGTTCAATACTCAAAAGAGCGATAAGAAGCGTTCATTTTGTATTAACACCTTTTGCATAAGTACCTAGCCCTTACGGCTATTGGAGAATTTTTATCTTTGTAATATTAAATAAAATAATAAAAAACAATTGAATTGAGCTACAATGTCGCTTTATCGTTTCACTTGTATTTTTATCAACTCTTTATGTCACTTTCTCTAATGATGGCTTTTGCTTATTAAAAAAAAAAGAGAACTAATGTAAAGGACTGTTGCTTAATAGCCATATTCAGCTCTTTCGGCCAATTAGGTTTACGCTGTGATTAAAAAAATTGGCGATTTGTTTTAACCTTCTTCAGACTTGGCATCTGGAGCGCTTCTAGTTTCCGCAAGATTCTTCAACATTATGGCATATAATACATTAATCCAATGGACTCCAGAGCTGTTACCTACCTCAATGAGGGCTTCTGGTGGGGCACTCATCTTTACTTGCGGTAATCTTACATTATTGCTGTCGTCATTCGTCGTTTTTTCGGTGAGTGCACAATAATTTACAAAAACATATAATATCTTTAGATATTTTTTGATAAAGCTTTTAAATACATGTAGTGCGAATTTAAATGTAGGTGCGTCGCCATTCATCCATGGGCTGCTGTGGTGTAAATGAATGCCTGGTCTTTGTGAGCCCTAAGGGCAAGTGAACCTAAGGGAAGCCCATCTATAAAAAAACTACAATTATTCGAAAGTGCATACGCGTCGGGACAGTTTTATAACATTACAAACTACACAAATAAATAATTTGTAGGGAATTTAATTACTTTTTCGTAATTAAGGCTTATATTTACTAAACAAAAAATTTGTGAATATTTAAAATGAAACTATATTTAAACTCTTTTATTTCGGAAAAATCATTCAATGCTTAATCGGTAATTTACCCTCGATTGAGGCGTATAAATTTCTGCGAGCGTTGCCTTGATTTGTTTTAAAACACACATTATAAAATCCAACCCGAAACAATTATTCCAAATGCTATTTTTAAAAGTTTGGGTACTAAGAGGATCTAAATTGTTTTCAGGCACAGTACTGGCAAGGTCTCCCATTCTTAATAATATCAGTATTCGCTGTACTGGCAGCTAGTTGTGCCCTCTTCATACCAGAGACAAAGGGCAAGCCAATGCCATAAACAGTGGAGGCGGTTAGAAACTGAAGCAGGACAATTTTATTTAAGTCTAACAAGTAAGTATCTTTTATCCTTTAGGCCGTTTCTCCACTGTTCCGTTCCGGCAAACGTTGATTACCGATCCGATTTAGAAACTCACTTACGTGCTTCTCCACTACTCCGGCATCCGGTTTTTAACGATCCGATAACTTGCTAGATCGGAACGCGGTGTTTTATCGGTCCAAGTATATCCAAGAGGTTATAAATTATTATACACAGGTTTATTTATAGTTTCTTTAATTTGAAAGAATCTGGATAACCTGGACCAAACCAAATTATGTTGCTATTTATTTATATTTTTATACCATAGTATTAGTGAATTATTTATTAAGTAGATTATAATATTTCAAGATAGACAATATAAAAAAGTAATAAACTAGCCAGGGCAATAAAATATTCAGAATTTAGAACGTTTTATTAATAAAATTAAGTATATGGGTTTTAGTTAATATAAATGTTGCATGATAAGCGTGTATTATGTGCTAATACACGCTTTTGGCACATTTTTCTAGACGTCATTCCGGATCCAATGAGCTATCGCACATAATTTTAAGAGCAGTATCTCTATTTTGTACCATTTTCAACTTGTCGACTAGACTACGTAGGCATTTGCAAGTCGTGCTTCTTATCGTTTAAACCTTATATTGCGAATATTGTTACCAAGAATCTTGCGCGGAAATACATTAATACTGTTACGAAGGCGGGTCGACTGCAATGTTTCTTGATTTTTCCACTACTTAGAGAACTTTTCAGCAGGCTGAAATGTGATTTCTGACCGTTTTAGGAGAGGGTCAATCACATATTAGAAAATCGTAATTTACATAATATTACCCTAGTTTTTAGCCTGGTTATACCCCTTTGATGAAAGAATAGTCTAGAACGAATTTTCTAGGTGTGGGACAAGGACGGAATGATGCGAGAGAGAGACGGAAGATCGGAACGTTCTCGAAGCTAGACCGAGCACTCTAGAACACCGTACGACAAGGACGGAGCAATGTGCGAGTACGCATGTTCTAGAATTGTGCGATCGCTACTCAGTAGCGCTCCCGCCTAGAGAGTTCTCGAACTTGCAAGACTATTCCCAGGGACATATAAGCGAGCCGAAACGCGACCAGTTAGTTCAGTTTTGAATGCGATATCAAGCGATAAACACCGGAGTGACAAAGTGCGAATATAGTGAAGACAAGTGAATACAAGTACTGTGTGAAATGCGAGTAATTAGTGACAGTATTTTGTGTGTGTATTTAGTGAATTTTTGTGCATAATTTCCTCGTAGATTTAATTGAAAATAAACCGTTGAAGAAATCGACGGTGTTTTCTATCCGATCCCCTAGCTCGTAACAATACAATACATTTGCGCAAATACTTGACGCAGATTTTAATTGTAGATTCTCTGTCTTCTTCAAAGCGATAGAAATTGGTTGGAAAGTAAACTATAATTTGGAGAATTGTTATATTTGTTGGTTTTCAAATTTGGTAATAGTTTACACTGAAGAGAAAATAGGTACGTTTACGTTTTGGACAAGTATTTGTTTCAAAGAAAATTCGAATTCTGTATGGAACTTCCATCACGTTGCTTTCAAATCAAATCAAATCAAAATACGTTTATTCAATTTAGATGCTTCTTAGAGCATGCTTATGAATGTCAACAACGTTTACAAAATTTACGAAAGAGCAAGACTACGCCATCACATTGCTTTGTTGCGAGCAAAGGTTTAAGTTTCGAAGATCGGAAAAGTACAAATTTAATAACTTCTTTTTTTACAGAGAGCACGCAAATCCAGAAGGCGAAAAGGTTGTTGGAAAATAGTTTAGTTTTACGTTGCACCTATTCATATTAAGTAATATAAGGCATTTTGTTGCATTATCACTGTTGCTGGCAAACGGCAAAAGCAGCAATACCAAAAATAGCAGTTCAATATCGAAAGAGCATTGGGTAAGATTCAGAATGAAGACTTAGCAAGAATTCTTGAACGAAGAAGAAGAACTTAATGTCAGAAACGTATCTTGACACACGTCTCTGAATCTTAAAGGCCTGTATTCACTTTGATTAGTCCGACTGCAAGTGATTAGTAATTGACATTGATTAGTGCAGGTGTGTAGTGCAAGTAGTGTACAATTATTGTTTAGTGGCTCTGCTATGTAAATTCAGTTGTCATATAGTTTGGCAGGCACGCTGCGAGTGAGGGGGAAGGGAGGGCGCACGCGACGTCACTACTCGCAGTTCACTCGCAAAAAAATAGAACACGCTTCTAATCACTTTACTACGCAGCCAACTAATCAATATGGAATTTATCAAGTTTTTAGTAAGTGTGTACTGACAAGAGTTGTGGACCTGAAATAGTAATTAGAAATGCCTAACAGATTTACAGTTACCCTGATAAAACGCAATTTTCTACCTTTATCATTATTATTTATAAGGTGACCAACTATTTTTTGTTCAAAAAGAGTACACTTTGCAAGTATTTTATAGGTGAAAAAAAAAGAAGAAAAGTGATAAAAAGTTCATTTTCTTTTAAAAACATATTTTTCTACGGAGTGGTTTTTTTTGCTAAATAAGGATGTTCTAATAATGTAGCCATATCCGAGAAACTTTCATTTTGCATATTAAATTTGACTGTTAAGACGGCAGATAATGTTTTTACAGAAAGTTGCGACTTCTCACTGCTCCAATAATCATTCCCTAGTGAAAATACCCTTATAACAGCAGCATTAGTGCCTGGACAATATAACGAAATTTCTATTAAAACTAAATTAAACAAATGAGTACTTTCAGAGTACAGGGTTTAAAAAGAGTACGGTTTGTGAAAAAAGAGTAAAAAAACTCAGTAAATGAGTATAGTTGGTCACCTTATTATTTATTACTTAGCCGGCGAAACCGTTTGTCGAGAGCCACTTGCCATGATATTCCTTTCATAGATAATAATTTAACAACATTTGGCTTTTAATTAATGTCGCCAGAGACTAGTATAATATGTGTAAGATATATACTTATTAAATGAGTTTTATTTTAGAGTGAAAAGAGTTTTTTATTAAAGAGTGGCGGAGAGTTTATTGCCAGTTCTTCTTGCCCGCTCTACGCCCTTGACTTGCGAACTGGTAGTAAATGTAAATATAGAATCAATTTTAAAAAAATCTGTTGAAGTTTATAAGTGTAGTTGGTTACCTATTTGAAGAAAGTTATTTTGAGTTCGAGATCATTACAGAATATCTTCAATATTATTGTTCCGCTGAAAGAAAAGACCTTTTGTATAAAACCCATACTATTAAAGATATAATAAACGTATATTTCCTTGGCTTAGTGGTAAGTAAGGTGCTTATCCGCTAGATTTTGAGCGAACCAGTCACATAATAGAGGACAAAAAATATGTAGAGATGTGATATGATGAAAACGATTTATGAGACACGGAGAGGTAATCTAAAGATATCGATTATACAATCGATATCTTTGGGTGGACGTAAAAATTGTATACTTAATCGTCCCTATAAATCTAAAATATTTGTTCTCAAGTTGTAACCGTCATACCGGCACACGTTATTGTTTCAATTATCAATTAATATAATGATAAGGTCTTCAAGATATTAATTATCACTAAAATTTGTTACTATTGATTGTACTTTAATCGGTTAACCACCGCTAATGTTTCAGTGATAATTATTTAGTAAATTATACTGTACAAAATATATTATTGTAATTGTGAATTGGAAATAAATATTGAGTGGTAAGTCTGCATTCATTTACTTAAAACTTACAACAAAAACATCGAAAAGTTAATACAAAATATTCTGAAAGCTACTAACATTCTAATAAATACCACTATTCTTTGGTGTGTACAATAAAACCGCGGAAAACTAAACATGAGTGGCATGAGTGGAAATCTTCTCCACGAATATATCATTTATCCTTCTTAAAGGTTATTGTCCTTAAGCCTTTATAGGTGACATACCACTTAAATATACCTAAATACCTAGAAATTACTATATCATAGCTCTGTAAGTATAGCTCGTTATAACCAATCTCATTTCTGCCAAGTAATACCTACCTATATAAATAAATAAACCTTTAGTGGTAATAAATACCTAAATAAAAAAAGGGAAAGGGTTGCGTGTACTTATGTACGCGCGTAAGAAGTTATACTTCTTTGGCATTATTAAAAATAGTTTTTGATTGCATGCAAATAATTAATTACAATTAAATAATCAAAGACTGGAAAAGGAGTCAATTAAGTTCAGTTTACATTTGAAAAATTAAATAAATAATTATTTATTATTATTCTCTTACATTAAGTGTAACATAAATTCTATTTAGTTAAAAGTATATATAATTATATATTTAGAACATCTCTACCAAACACTAAGAAGTATGTTGTAGCTTTGGCAGTATTGCACAATATAAAATTAATAAATTTCTTTGAAAAATTAATCAAAACTCCTTTATTTGTTTAAAAGGTAAATGACAAATGTCATTATGGTCATTCAAAATTCTTGGTATACGAACTTCACGCATATTCTATTTCTTTTTACTTGTAGATTGTCTTATTCCTATCTCGCTCGCGCACGCTATAATCACACTCCCAATTTTGTGTCACAGGTGCGCGCGCATCGTAAAATTTCACTCTCATAAATTTTTCATAACGCGCCTAAAGAAGTATAACTTCAAATAGAACTGACTCCAAACTACACCAAAAGGTATAAGGTTTTATATTTCTTACTTGTATTGATTTATCTTGCACTACAAAGAGACGTTAACCGTTAAATACCCCGTGTATTACTCAAATTTTTGGAAGTCCTACATGAGTTATGGTTTAATGGACCTGAAATTCCTCTATCTTGCTGGAAATATAAATACTACACTAATTATATTTATAACATTGTGCCCTGGAATCATCCTGAACTCTTTCATACGACGCGGTGGCGCGATGATGACACATCCATCATTCAGATCGGCCCACAAAAAAAAATACACGTCGAATTTATAAGCTATTCCTTCTAACCCAAAGTTCAATTTATATTAAATTCAAATGAATTACTTATAATTATTTATAACGTTACCTTTTTGTTATGATAGTAGTTTGTCATGAAGGCACATATTAAGATATTAGACATTTTAAAAGCACTGTGTCTAAGAAATCTATTGAAATTGCAGAAACATTAAAAAAAATGGCTTATAGTTCTAAACTTATCTCATTAATTACGTTTATAATACGAATTACGATTCAAGATTAATTAAATTAGGTAATTTTTAAAAAATTTTTTAAAATAAGTTATTTTACATTAAATATAATTGTATTTATATACAAAGAATCTTGTTTCAATTTATCAATAAATCGTTTTATAAATTTGACGTTTATTTAAATGATCCTAATCCTTGGTATTGATGCTCCAGTTCAAATATTTGTGGCTGCTTTGCCTTACAAACAATTTGTATGGCCTAAAACTTGGCGATTAAAAAGGGTGGCGAAGAGTTTCTTGCTAGTAATTCTTGCCCGCTCTAGGCCTACTTGTGTACTAGTAGTAAATGGAAATTTAACACCTTTTCTGTTTACATTCATAAGTGTACTTGATTATCTATATAAATTAAGTTATTTTGAGGTTGAGTTACGACTCACACATTCTATTTATTATTGAATAAGGGGCAAACGGGCAGGCAGTTCCCATGACGTTAAGTGATATTATGCCGCTGCCCATGGACAATCACGCTGCCAGAAAGCTTGTAAGTGCGTTGAGTCCTTTTGAAAATTGGCACGCTTTTGCAAAAATTATGGTAAACACAACAATCCCAGACATATATACATATAATAAAAAAATTCAATAATATTGTGTAAATGTATTTATGGAGAGTGTACAAAAATATCATTTGACTTACGCAAACTTTGATACAAAAGTAAAACTTTCAGATGAGTAAAAAAGAAAACGTCGATATAGGTACAGCCTTAGAGGCAGTGATAACAAGTGTGGGAGAGTTAGGATGGTATCAAAGACTTTTGTTCGTTGGTATTTTACCGTTTGGATTTGCCTGGGCGTTCAGTTATTTTGGGCAGATGTTCATAACGGCCACGCCTCAAGAACATTGGTGCAGAGTTCCCGAGTTACAGTCCCTCAGTATTGAGATGAGGTGAACTTTTGAAGCCATTTAACATTAGAACTGTTATTTAGAACATTTAATTGTAATTAAAAAAAACTGTAAATTTAAATTACTACTGGAAGTCCTTGAACTTGTTATATCTATTTAACAGTACCACTTTTTATTTAAATGACATAATTTTTTTTATTACCTTGTTACTGGGTGGTCCTATCCATTAGATAAGTTTACGTAGATAAGTATAATCGCAAATCAGTTTTTTGGATAGATGCTATTTAAACCATTGTATCTAAGGAAACAAATGACGACAGAAATAATCCCTTCAATAATTTTCAGGCGACTCTTATCAGCGCCACGCACTGGTGATTACAATATAGATAGTTGTAAGACATTTGACGCCAACTGGACACATGTATTAGAATCCCTACGTCCGCCAGATCCTGACACTCCATTACTGAAATGCCAATACGGCTGGGAATTCCTCTTTGAAGACATTCCTTACTCTACTATAGTTAGTGAGGTAAGTTCGCTCCTCGCTCCTTACAAACGTTGTGTAAAAAAAAACATGGCGATTAAAAAGAGTGGCGGAGAGTTTATTGCCAGTTCTTCTCTTCCGTTCTACGCCCTTGATTTGAGAACTGGCAGTAAATGTAAAATTAGAAGCATTAATATGTATTTCTTTGCTGACGAATCACAAGTGTACATTGTGTTACCTACGTGAATAAATGATTTTTGTTTTTTTTTTTAATTTTGAAAGTTTAAATTGGTACTCAATAAACACCACCTAATTAACGCTTCAAGGATGTTTACGGGGCTCCTTCTTTATTACAGAGAGTCGACAATGTGTGTCGTCGTTTTTACGCCATAATGTACAAGTGACCTTTCAATGCTGATTACTTAGACATAGGTCATTGTAATAGATTGCATGTGCAGATATGGTAGAAATACTAATGTATTGCTTGTGTATGACGGTATCACATGTTTATTACTGATGCTTTTTTTATATTTTAGCGGGAATGGGTCTGCGATAAAGCCAACTTGGTGCCTTGGTCCCAATCTATCAGTTTCTTGGGATCCATAACTGGTGGGATTCTGTGTGGGGTGTTGGCTGATAAATATGGCCGAATGCCTGTTCTTGTGTGTAAGTTTCTATACAATACAAGGAATTAATTGTATTGAGGTCATCAGCTGCAAAATCAGCTCATCTATGCCTCTATTTGCGTTTTTATCCACGACTTTTTGGCCACCTGTATATGTACTTTTTACATACGTTTTAAATTTCGACAAGCCAGTGTTTGAAGATACAGATTCTGAAAAAGTATTTCCAGGCCGCGCGCTTGAGCTTGGTAGACCCCCCCGTGGAACAATTTTTGAGCTGATGACCTCTTATCCTATTGACTGCAGTTTAATTTCGACGGGTTTGAAGCGCGTTATACGCGCCGGACCGTGTTATGAATTTGATTCTCGCTGAAAATATAATTGTTATGTATTGAAATTTAAACCCGAGACGATTGCAAAATATTACAAGAATTTGAGAAAAAATATTAAAGACTCGTTCTATCTTAATTCGCAGGAATTAGAATATTTTTTTCTATCTAGCAAAGATGACTAAACGTTACCACGACTTTTCAAATATTACAGATTAACTTCTCACAGTATCAGTGTACACAAGACCCTAGACCAGTGTTCCCCAACCTATTTTGTAACATGCCCCCACCTTAGCCTTCCTAAAATTCTTATGACCCCATGGAACAAACATAGTTTTTAATATCTAAAATTGAATTGCCAAAAAATAAATTCAGAAATTAATTTAAGGAACATAAATGATAGGATTTAGGAAGAAATTACTTGGAAATTGTTAACGAAGTAGATTTTAAAACATATAATGAAACACTGAAATGACAAATAATTATTTAAAGAAAAAAAAAAAACTGTTTAACCGGATTGAAGTTATGTATTATTATTAATAATTATTTAAAAAAATAATACATTTTCGAAAAGCCCCTCTTGACAATCAAATTGCCTGCCTGTGTGGCGTGGGCCCGACGTTGGGAAACACTCTAGCCAAGCCCTAGATCCTATAAGATGGGCCGGACAAAAGCCTGCGTCCAACAAGCAGAGGCCGTTTCTATTGAAGTACATATTATTTTAAAATTTACAATGGCTTATACCTTTAATACTGGCAGCATTATCCTTATATTTTTTTTTAATTCTTATACTTTTATTACATAAAATAATTAACCTTAAAGTATAATAACTAAAATAATATACATTGAAAGAAAAAAAAACTAACCTTAACATAAACTAAAATATATTATTAAAAGGAGTCCCTTTAGGCAAAGTTCCGAAGATACTGGCGGCGTTCCCCCTTTGAATCGCTAGACTAAAAATTTTATTGATTTATTAGGTTAAATAAATTACGTTATTTTAGTGTCAAATTGTCTTGGTGTGATTGGTAATATTGCGACAATATTCACGACCGATTTCTGGGACTTTGCCATTTGCCGCTTCATTGCCGGAATGTGTGTTGACAGCTGTTTTATACTTATGTTTATATTAGGTGAGGTTTTAAACGTTTTTATTATAAATAATATTTTAATAATTGCAAATTATACATTCATATTATACTTATGAAGCCAAAATTAAACAAATTTTAGTATATTAGTATCAGATACAAAATTAGTTATTTCAGTATAACTTAAAATATCCTTAATTCCAGTTTTAGAATACGTGGGTACTAGATACCGAACAATGGTATCGAATCTCTCGATGGCATTTTTCTTCGGTGGAGGCTGTATTATTTTGCCCTGGCTAGCTTTATGGATATCAGATTGGAAATATTTTATGATAGCAACGTCATCGCCTATGCTATTGGCGTTTTTGGCTCCTTTTGTTGTTCCTGAAAGTGCAAGGTAGGGGTCTTTATAAAATCTATGACCGCGACTTTAAATGTTACTACATTTTAGGCAACAAATAATACGACACTTGATGTACAGGTCCATTGAGCTTTCAAATATTTTACCGACGGAAACAGGAAATGCGTATATTGTTTATAAATAGAACGCTTCCCATTTCATATTCGGTATTTCTGGTAATTTACCTAGACGAGTCTTTCATACAAAATATGCTCTATTAATTATTGATATCATCACAGTATGGATTGCAATCCAAATTTAGTAGAATTTTAATTTCGAAGTTAATATTTTCCCTGTTTTTCAAGGTGGTTGGTTTCAAAGGGAAAGATAGCCAGAGCCGTGAAGGTTTTAAAACGCTTTGAGAAAATTAATGGAAATAAAATACCACAACATATTATGGATCAGTTTATTGTAAGTCTTTATAGTCTAGTCGACAAGTTGAAAATGGAACAAAATAGAGATACTGCTCTTAAAATTATGTGCGATAGCTCATTTGAACCGGAATGACGCCTAGAAAAATGTGCTAAAAGCGTGTATTAGCACATAAAAAATTGCAAAAGTTATAGACCATTAAAGATGAAAAAAAATGGAATTTAGTTTTTTGCCAATATTTAATAAACTATTAATATTTAAGAAATTTCAAATAAAGATTCTGAAAGAGGAGGAAATTTCCAATAAAAAACTCTCAGCTCCCGGAACTCTATCTCCATTATTTATAACTTTAATTTAACGCTGAAAATAGGTCTGTGCGTGACATTTTTAGGATTCGCGCGTGGCGTCAAAAGCGACTACGGCACATTAATTAATTTATTTAAGGTATTGAATATTTTTTTTAAATTTGAAAAAATTATGGTGTGTTCTGAACACTATAATTAATTTATTCCCGTTGGAAATTTTACTTAAAGTTAATTTTTCAACAAGTTAAATAATTGTTAACTAACGAAATTTTCTCGAACGACCGTCTTAATTGTAAGTGAAAAAAATGTTTTAATAATGGTCGTAAAAATATTTCGCTTCGTAGAGCCTTTCTTACATACATACTTAACAAGATCGTGCCATAAAAGTTAAAGAAATATTTATACTTTGTTTATAACAATTTTTTTACTTAAACAAAAACTTAAAAATCCAAGTAATGTTGTTAAAAAATTTTTTTTTTTCTACATCATCATATTATCGTTTTTATATTAATACAAGATATTTATTGATTTGCAAAAAAAATTTCCCGCCATTTGTTGATAATTTTTTTTAAACAAATTGATTAAATCAATTGTTTTAAAAAAAATTTTCTCAACTTTATTACATTACAAATATTATGATTGTTTAAAAAAAAATTCCTTAATAACATATTTTAATTGTTTATAATCGTTTTTTTTATATTTCTATTGTTTAAATAATTAGTTAAGAAATTTTTTTTTTCTAAAAATCATAATTGACAGTCCTCTATAAAGTAACAAAAAAATTTTTTTTTTTAATCAACAATTCTATTGTTTATTAACTTACCAATTTGTTATAAACAAATGTTCAACTTTTTATATTTTTTTCTAAAACTTCTAAAATTAACAAAAACGAACATATATAACAAAGTCTATAAAAAAAAAAAATTTTTTTTTAATAAAAGTAATATTCATGATAATCAAAAAATTTAAAAAAATGTTTTTCTATATTTTGTTATATATGGTTGTTTTTGTTAATTTTAGAAGTTTTAGAAAAAAATATAAAAAGTTGAACATTTGTTTATAACAAATTGGTAAGTTAATAAACAATAGAATTGTTGATTAAAAAAAATTTTTTTTCTGTTACTTTATAGAGGATTGTGAATTATGATTTTTAGAAAAAAAAAATTTCTTAACTAATTATTTAAACAATAGAAATATAAAAAAAACGATTATAAACAATTAAAATATGTTATTAAGGAATTTTTTTTTTTTAAACAATCATAATATTTGTAATGTAATAAAGTTGTGAAATTTTTTTTTTTAAAACAATTGATTTAATCAATTTGTTTAAAAAAAATTATCAACAAATGGCGGGAATTTTTTTTTTTGCAAATCAATAAATATCTTGTATTAATATAAAAACGATAATATGATGATGTAGAAAAAAAAAAAAATAAATTTTTAACAACATTACTTGGATTTTTAAGTTTTTGTTTAAGTAAAAAAATTGTTATAAACAAAGTATAAATATTTCTTTAACTTTTATGGCACGATCTTGTTAAGTATGTATGTAAGAAAGGCTCTACGAAGCGAAATATTTTTACGACCATTATTAAAACATTTTTTTCACTTACAATTAAGACGGTCGTTCGAGAAAATTTCGTTAGTTAACAATTATTTAACTTGTTGAAAAATTAACTTTAAGTAAAATTTCCAACGGGAATAAATTAATTATAGTGTTCAGAACACACCATAATTTTTTCAAATTTAAAAAAAATATTCAATACCTTAAATAAATTAATTAATGTGCCGTAGTCGCTTTTGACGCCACGCGCGAATCCTAAAAATGTCACGCACAGACCTATTTTCAGCGTTAAATTAAAGTTATAAATAATGGAGATAGAGTTCCGGGAGCTGAGAGTTTTTTATTGGAAATTTCCTCCTCTTTCAGAATCTTTATTTGAAATTTCTTAAATATTAATAGTTTATTAAATATTGGCAAAAAACTAAATTCCATTTTTTTTTCATCTTTAATGGTCTATAACTTTTGCAATTTTTATGTGCTAATACACGCTTTTAGCACATTTTTCTAGGCGTCATTCCGGTTCGAATGAGCTATCGCACATAATTTTAAGAGCAGTATCTCTATTTTGTTCCATTTTCAACTTGTCGACTAGACTATATAGTTAAACTAGCTGATCCGGCAAACGTCGTTTTGCCATGTATATTATTTATAATAAAAAAATAGGGGTTGATCGTAGAGGGTTGGAAATTTAGGGTTGTATGTATTTTTTAATGCTGTATCAAAAAAAATTCTACAATTAAAGAATCATAATTTAGGGGTGGACTACCCTTAACATTTAGGGGGATGAAAAATAGATGTTGTCCGATACTCAGAGATACCCAATATGCACACAGGAGTTTAACTACAAACACCGCGACACGAGAATTTTATATATAAGATTAATACTTTAATATTTTTATATAAATTAAAAATATATAGATCTCAGGTATTAATAAAATAACTGGTAGGTACGTGCTTATTTTTATTTGTGTTAAGCTCTCTTAAACTTTATAAAAAATACGCAGAAATGTTACCAAGCAGGTTATATCTGGTACATTAAAATTTACAAGTGTGCGGCAGACTTCTGTGTATCATGTAAACACAATATATTTTAACCAATGTTTGCTTTATTAAGTTATTGAGACATTAAATAACATATAGAAGTAAGTCATACTTAATGTGACCAGACGTCCCGGTTTGAACGGGACTGTCGTTTTTTCCAATTACGAGTCCCGGTGTCCCCGAAATGAGCTGTGGGACGCAAAATTGTCCCGTTTTCAGAAACGGAACATTTAAGCAGCATAATATTAAAAAATCGTGCCAAGAGTTTTATTCTTATTTGAAATCGTCACCAATATTAAAACAAATTTGTTCTTCTGATAAATATTAGGGAAGACCGGGTACAAAAGTAACGGCGCGGCGGGTCGAAAGTAACAAATGCTCTCTAATTATATGGGCGAAAAGTGTCGGTGTGGAGCCCCCTCTTGTAGTTAGTGCGCGTACTCCAGCACTGTTAGGTTGTGTGAGAGGATACTAGTTTTTTACAAACCAAAACTAAGTTTTGATTTGTTATTTAATGTTAATAGTCGGGATGGTAGTAATTGAATTAGAAAGAAATTACAAAATAGGAAGGGTAAAAAGAAAACTATGGTAAAAGTAACAAAAACCTAGCAAGTTTTGTCAAAAGGAACAAAGTAGGTGAGTAACCTCAGAACGTGGAGATTAGGAATTGATATATGTGGAGAAATACCCTTTTTCGTATTCCATTTAAACAATTCCAAGACAATATTGAGGTTGGATGGAAGTAGGGAGAGAGAATAGAACTTTACTTTTTAAATAAATAATTGTTGATAAAATAAATATAAATACTTGGCTTGCAGTGGTCGAAAGTAACAACTTGATTTTTTAACTTGATATATAAAACACACCATAGTAAAAAAATGAGCTGTAGTGAAAGAACATAACTAATATGGTTATATTAATTTAATACAATATTAAAACCTGCAAAATAAAATATTACTAAAAACTTTTGGTACCTACCTATATTTTGTAATTCATTACTTTTAAGCCAACTCACTTTTGCTAAATAAATAACATTAAAAAGTGTTTTATGTCATAAAACGGGACATTGGTTACCTAAATTAAACCAATGTCCCGTTTTAAGTCAAAGAATAAATGGTCACTTTAGTCATGGTACATGACGTGATAACTCTTTTTAGACTGCAAACCTGTCAGACCTCTATATGTGTTTCCCAGATCATTTAATATAGGTGATCTGCATTCTCTGGTCGATATACGCCGTTGATATTATGGTCTTATATTTGTTAGTTACACACATGGATCAAATTTAAAAAGTCAGGGTTGGAACGCATGACTTCCGTGTTGAGAATCGCTCACCTTATGTTAACAATACGCTAATATTTTAGTAATCAGTTAATTATCTAATTCCTTTAAGGAAGTCGCAAACACGACAAAAGAAGAAGAGAAAGGTATCGGGCTGATATTTCGAACGCCAGCTCTTCGTAAAATGGTGATATTCCTTATCATCACGTTCGTGGCAGTTGCTGTCATGTTTGACAGCATCATTCGTTTATCTGAGAACCTGGGGCTGGACTTCTTCTTAACATTCACAGTCACGTCAGCTACGGAGATTCCATCGATATTCGTGTTGCTTTTGTTATTAGACAGGTACGGTACTCTCTTCTGTTGCGTAAACTGTTTTATGCACAGGCATTCTCTTAAATATGTTTTTTTATATATGTGACATATAAGTAAATGACTGATGAGTGATTCTTAATTAATTTAATATTTACCTGTTTAGTTAATTTTATTTTTGAAATAACTTGAATTTTAATTTTTAAGACTTACATAAAACTTTATGTTCAACTATAGCTAACACGTAAAAAGAATTTATAGATGCATAATTAGTCACAATATTCATTAAAACAAGAATATTTCTAATAATTTCAATTGAATTTTGTTTTCTAGACTGGGTCGGCGTTGGCTGGTATTTGTACCAATGATGGCTGCGGGAATACTGTGTTTCGTCACTGCTTTTGTACCAAGAGGTATGTTTATACTACCAACATCCTTCCCTCATAAAGACCTTCGGCCTATGATGGTTGCGCATTCACTACTTAGGGTAATTATTTACAGTATATCGCACATACAAATTACGCATTAACATTACTTCATGATAATCCTTATAAATATGTAATTAAATTAAGATAATAATTACGTGTTTTTAGAGAATATTAAACAATTTATACTGTATTTAAGGCATAACCTCTGTGGCTCTTGCGGTAGCAGCTCGATTCTTCAACAACATGTCATATGTCAGCGTGATTCAGTGGACTCCAGAATTGCTGCCCACAGCTGTAAGGGCATCGGGAGCCTCCTTTGTACACATCAGTGCTTTTGCAGCGGTTTTGGTGACTCCGTTCATAGTTTATTCGGTTTGTTCATTTTATGTTTCTTTTAAAATAGTTCTGACCTATTTGCTACTTTTTTGCACACGATAAAATTGAAATGAGAATTGGAATTTTATCGATTAATTCCAAAATTAATAAAAGAGTAAACATCGCGAAGAACATATAATAATTATGTAAATCAAATTAATTGACACTTATTAACTTGTTTTTCTAATTGTAATAACTATCAAGGTTTATTTCATTTTATGTTGATCGTCTATCACATTTTATTTTACCTAAATAACAGAATATTCATGCACTTTTTTATTTAAATGAGCTATAATTACACATTCCAACTTCAACTTTTTGTAGGATCGTGCTTGGGAAGGTTTATCACTAATAATCGTGGCAGTGATTGGCTTGAGTGGGGCATCTCTGGCTCTAGTGTTGCCAGAAACAAAAGGCAGGCGCATGCCACAAACAGTCGAAGAATGGGAAGCCCTGGCAAATAAACAACACTCCAAGTAAATATACTACTTAGTACTCAATTAGATCTCGTGTGAGTTACTAATGATTAAAGAAATAGATGCAATATGAGATCAAGGCCCATCATAGTATATACGCACCAATGAATTATTACTGACATTATATTTTTATGTCCATCTTCGCTTTAGTAGGTAACGCTTTTAGTTTAAATTAGACGCCAATAAAATAATCATATCAGTTATGTTCATGTTAAGTTCGGTGGCGGTAGTTGGAGGGATGTCCAAATAAATTAAACTCTTTGTTTAAAGATAGGAGTCAACTAGCTTTATTCGTTTAATACATGAGCTTATAACTAACATATAATTAGGGGTAGTGGGGTTGCGACGCTAACAAAAAACAAACTTGGCTTATTTAAGGGTTCTTAAATCTTAGTGACAATTCTGTATAAGTGTAATCGACCTATTGGACTTTCTCCGAAACGAGAATGTTATATTACAATTTTTATGCGTATTAACGCCTTTAGTACACCTACGCGTTCGTATGCGGCTGCGAATCTTTGCGAAATAATTGCGGTAGCGAAATATCTGCGGAACGTTAGTACACTGCAGATTTTTCGCAAGGATATGTCATTGTAGCTTTCGTATGCTGTAGGTGCAGACGTCGTTTCAGAATGTCATCTGAGTCGTCCCAGTCGTCGCTTTCAGATTCTGAAGAGGATTTTGTAATCAACATGCCCAACTAAATATAATTCGGGATAATTTCGAATCAAATTCAATAATAATTCAATATTTTCGGCTTCCATTGTGCGAAATTCTGTCCTCACTGACAGAACGCGTGGTGACGCCTTGCGATGCGAAACTTTACTAGCGAAACGTCTGCGTCTGTGTAACAGCCATTTCGCAGTTACTTGCGAAACAATACCGACAAGGACGCAACTATTTCATCTAGCTATATATTAGAGCGAGACAAAACACATGCGAAACGTTGCCATACAACTTACAGTTTTTTCGTCGTTTCGCTGCCGCATGCGATTGCGTAGGTGTACTAAAGGCGTAAAAACTAAAGGGCACGTTTTTTAATAAACTGACGTATTTAATTTTATAGGCTACAAGTGTAAGTTGATTGCAAACACTGTTTGCGCTTCTAATTATTACCTAAAATCTTTATATGTAACATAACTAATATTAGGTTACATAACTCACGTAATATTATTTTTTATTTTGTTACAGAAAAGATATTGCTTCGGTCGAATACATTGATACCAGCTGATATCAGGTGTTTTTGATAAATTTATTGCTAAATGTACTTTTTATTATAAACAATTTAATTATTATAGTTTTTGCGTTTTATTTTATCCCAACTAAACTGTATCGAAATTATATTAACACCACTTTAAGGTTTTTTTGTTTTATTTAATTTTGGTCTGGCGATTTTGACTCGTGAAGTCATTAAGCACCAAGTTTTATGTATACTAATATTATAATACAAACCCACGTTGTAAGTGTCATATAGATGTATATTAACCCGAAATTATTAGGCGTTTTCGCGGTAGTCGGATTTGCAAAGTAAGTCGGAGAAAAAAGCAGTCGAACGAAAACGTTTCTAACGAATGCTGCCTTAACGTTGAAAGATAATGAGTCATAGGGCTTGATAATGGCTACAAATAAGTCAGCGACAGTATATCTCTAACTTTTATATGGTTTACCGGTCACGGTTGCCCGTGTGAAGCTGGGGCAGGTCGCTAGCAATAAATATATAAGTGTATAGTGGACCCCACAGACGTTGTCCTGCATGATATTTAAAGCGATTAGGATATTAAGCAAAGTATGAAAGTACCGACTGCAGTGCCATCTGCCGGGCTGATTTGTGAATCTAAACCATTCCCAGATCCCCTTGAACACACACAAAAAATTTCATCAAAATCGGTCCAGTCGTTTGAGAGAAGTTCAGTCACATACACACGCACACAAGAAATATATATATTAAGATATAAATATAAGTAATATATAAGAGCACTACAACATGTTTATAACGACATCACTAATTGTTCTAGTAATTAATGCTGCTTCCTGTGATTAATTTAGGTCAACTTACTGCTTGTGTAAATAATTTTAACTGTGAGAATTTTCTTGGCTATTATATAAAAAAAAACATTTATATTACCATTATTTTAGGACACTTAAAGCTAATGATAATAGACCTCATTATTATATTTTATACATTTAATCTTATTACCTCATTTAGCCACATTTTGAACGGGAGTGTTCACGCATGTACTTTTATTAGGATTAAGTTAAATAACTACATAGTCTTAAGTAGTTTTTAACCAAGTTATTTGCCAGATACTATACCAATTGCATTATTGTGATATCTCCACAATCGCCCATTCTACATCATCTTCCTCCCTAATCATTAGATTAGACCCCTCTCACTCTATCTATTTATCACATGTATAGATCCTACTTTGTGGTTATAGAAAAAAGCTTCATTGAATATCTAAATAGCCTAAACAAAAGAAATATTGTAAACATCCGAATATGAATAAAAATATATTTCAATTGTTCAACATTTTGATTTTAAACCATTGTATAGTATAGTTTTGACAACTCGTACTCATATAAATTAGTGTCAAGGGTCAACTAAAAATATAACTTTTGAACTTTCTATTGATTAAGCTTTTGCCGCAATGCGCGGCCTTGTGCGTTTAAACGAGTAACTTTCTTTAGAAAGTGTTTAAACTAAAGCGTCTCGAGTAGTATTCCTACGTTGCTTAAAAGGATTGAATTAAAGGTCGATTTAGGTTAGCAAAAATTGTTGACATAATCTTAACACGTGTTCTATGGATACGCCTGTCATTTATTGTAATCTAACGTTAGTCGAAAGCAGTGCTACGATCATTAAGATAAAACATAGTATAGAAAGAAGGAATGCAGTAGAATTATTTCTTTATATATTTATATATTTACTTAATTTATGTAATGTCAGTTTAGTAACTTCTGTTTATTTGGTGGAGATTCATGATAGAGAATTGTGTCAGTTTTTGAAGTGAAACTTCTTTAGGCGCATGAGGGTAAATTTTTACGGAAACGTCACGGAGATGTGCAGCGTTTTTGTCGAAGAAAAGGAAAAGAGCGATTGAGACCCATTGAGAGAGAGTGAGAAGGGCGAATTACCCTATAGAAATACTATTTTTTAAATTGAAATTTCGTAAAGAGAATTATGAAATACATATAAGTATTTTATATTTTATGCAAAATAATTTAATGAAATCTTAAAATGCCACGTGTTTTTATTATCGAAGAAATAAATTAAACATTTCTATTATCACTATTCTATTATAATTTCTATTAATTTACGACCCTATTAATATTTTAATGACAATTAACAACAAATTCATTAAATTCCTAACATATCTTCCTTTTTCCCTCCCTCTAAGTCTCGGAAATCTAAAGTGTTTGATTTTTATACGAGTATGAACAAGAGTTAAAAATAAGTTTGCCAGAGAAGTTTCACTTCTGACATGCATACTTTGTACGCACGCACTTTTTTATATTTTCCATAGGTATCATGTTTTGTATAGGATTGTATTCGTAATAGTTTAAATAACAGTATATCTACTGTAAATTCCGTCAATGCTTTTTGATCAAAACTGCCTGGCGCCAGACGCCAGTGTATTCACACCGAGTGTTCGGATGCCCGCGTGGAATATAATGCGGTGTTTTTCAAATAGTTTCGTTTTTATTGACATCCAGTGACAGTTTAGTGGCGAGTGATTGTTGAATCTATTATAAATAGCACGTGGAATAATTAAATTTCGCAATGGTAAGTTCACATCTGGCTATATTCCAAACGCTCTACGATTTACTATTTTTGAAAAAAGGGCAGTAGGTTTTTTAAATTTAGAACGCAGAATTACAATTCAGAATAATAAGAATTAACAATTTTAACTACCTATATAAGTAATTACCTACTCGTATATTTTCATTTTATTATCGCTTTTTAGCCTACTGGTATACATTTTATGCATACTGGTTTACAATTACATTTTATTGTATAATAAATTCTGTACTGTTGTCACTGAATGGCATAAATGTGAAACAATAGCATGAAAACAAAAACCAATCAAACTAGTTAAAAATCTTAGTAATACTTGGCAATTCGTTCTCGTTCTCGCGTAATATTAAAAGTGATAAATCAATTTCAAAAATCTGTCATAATTTTGAGGTTTCTATTTAAGTACTAAGACTTGGATTACCATGGATCATCTCGATGTGCATTTAGCTTCCGATACATTTCACAAACAGAACAGAACTGACACTTACGACATTTTTGCTTAGAAGTCTTAATAGATCGTATTAAACTCCAAAATTCGGTTAAAAATATGTTTAAATGACGTTAGCTTAGTTTTTCATAACTTTTTTGTAAAAGCGCATTGTTACATTTTTTATAGGGTCGCTTTTATCAGCCATCAGCCATATCGTTTTATTAAGAAAGAGGTTAATGTCCTGGTTATTTCATTATTATATGAATTATATAATCGGGGATATTTAGACTCGAATATTTTACATCGACGTATTTCAATATCATTTCATACAAAACGTATTTTTTATTATGACTTTTAATCATTACGTTGTCCGGTATTTTTTGTGATTAGCAATAATTTTCGACCAAAAATTACACCTACTACTATTACTACCTAAATCTAGAAACTTAAATTAAAAATATAATAAAACCAGCCAAAATGTTTAATTTTTTATTATATATAGACAGTTTTAGTAGAGATAGTTAAAATAATTATGCTTTTTATGTATAGGTACCACTAATTATTTATTCAAAGAATTTCTGGGTTGCCAATATTTCATTGCATTTTACCTGCGTTTTTATTTGAATATCATTTTGATAATACATTCTAGTCTTATTTTTAGTACATTAATAAATATTTAAATCCTTAAATGTTTTTGTAATAAAATAAATAAAATAAAATACTGGCTATTAGTCGTTAAGATTAAAAAGAGTGAGCGGAGAGTTTCTTGCCAGTTCTTCTTGCCCGCTCTACGTCCTTGACTCGCGAGTACATGTAAATTTAGAATCAATTTAACATCTTTTCTGTTGACGTTCAGAAGTTTACATAGTTACCTATATGAATAAAGTTATTTTGAGTTTGAGTTTGAATTGATATTTTTGGTTATTGATGCGCATCATGATTATTGAATTAAGAAACACATATTTGTGACCCAAAAAAGTAAATTCTAACAAAATAGAACAATACTCATTCTATCGATCTTTCATGTATATATTGCAGCATGCAAATCTAATCTATAACAAACTGATTAAATATGCACAATGCCCCAGTGTCGTCCGTGACCCGACAAATCCCGCCCTTGGCCGAGTTTCCATTTCAACATATTCTATAGCATTTTTCACATTCAACCAGAAAATCCTGTTTGCCATCGGATGCATTTAATGAACGAATTAAAAATAATGTATATTGACTTAATACTTTTAATTGAAGAAGAATTAAACAGTGGCGCCACAACACATGGTCTATTGGTCTTGACTCACAAGATCACAGATGTAATTTGTATTGTTTTATTTTAATTTTGAATGACTGTACTCTACTTAATAAAACCATTAATATTACATAAAAATAAAGTATTTGAACTACATATATTTGATTAATCAGTTCTCGTTTTGGCTCCTAATAGATCGGAGAAAGCTTCGTTTTATCGTACTTTGTCCGCGAAGAATTTATCAATCTTCGCAAAAACATTATCTATGCCTTATTAGAACTAGACCAAGATTTTTGGTTTTAGATTTTCATATCAGGAAATGAATGACTGAAGTACATTTTAATAGATGGGAAGAATGAAGCTTGCTGCTAAATATCAGATTAGAAACCTCTCTACTCGTTTTTGAGATTAAAAGACATATTTCGTCGTACCTTAAGTCTACGTTAGACAACGGTTTCAACATAATGTATTTGAGATACTCCATGTACTTAATAATAAAACTTTTAAGAAAAACAATACAATACAAACGAAATGTGCTTCGTTCAATGGTCATGAAGAGGCGCTAATTTACTATAAAAAAAACGTGCTAATCACATTATTATACGATATTCTAGTCACTAGAATCTAGTGTCGAATTGTTTTGCATATATGCTATTTGAAAAAGATAAATTCTTTGTATAAAAATTCGTTTCAAAAGACAAAACTGAAAGACATTTGAAAGAGTGATAAATTATCAAAAGCGAGAGCCTTATTAAGCTTTATTAAAACAATAATCAGTACAAATATAAATTGTAAATTTCCGCCTACTTCATAGGCGAATGCTACACGCTCGATATTATCGAGTCGTGATCAAGTGGTTACATGCGTTGCAAGAGGCGCTAATTTACTATAAAAAAATTTGGAACTAATGTAATCACATTATTATACGATATTCTAGTCTTAACTAGAATCTAGTAACGTCGTAAAATTAGTTTTTGCATATATGCTATTTGAAAATTTAGATAAATTCTTTGTATTTGAAGAAAAGAGTTCGTTTCAAAATAGGACAAAACTGAAAGACTATTTGAAAGTGTTGTATACTCGCAGTTTTGGAAGCAGTGACGGAAAAAAAAAAAAAAGCGGGGAAAAAACCCCCCCAGCCAGCTTTTCACTTAAATTTATCTAAATTTTGCCGTAAATGCTTAGTTAAGCGAAAATAGACTTTATTAAAATCAAAAATCATTTACACGGGTTAAGAAAATAGTTAAATTTAGTTAAATTTTTAACACTTAATACGTGTAAATCGGCCATAGTGGGACACTTCAAACTACGATTTCATTACTGTCCTTGTAAAGGTTAGATTTGTCCATGAGATTACAGTTGAGCGATCAACATGACATATTATACTGTTCTACATGCGATCTATTATTGTTTTAGATTCCAAGAACACCTTAATGAACACTTTAACATGTATGTATTACTTACTGTGTTTACAATTTCACTTTTGCATAGGCTATATACCTATATATGTATATATATTGAACTCTAGGTATGAGTAATGAGACGCAGCATAGAGATATATGACATAAAAAATATTTTACTTGATACATCATAATATGATTATTTAAAACTTATTTCCTGGTTTATTGAATGATCTCAAAAACCAATGAGTAAATTTATGGATTTAAAAATTACACCGTTGGATTTATGGCGCCCATAAAATTAAGGTATCAAAAATCTCAATATCAATCAATTGCTTTACAGCTTTTGGGCAAGTTTAGAACAAAAACTATTTTGTTGTCGTCTTCCCTTTTTTTCCCTTGTAATTTCTACTTTCATTTCCGTAGTGTTGTTGCATACAACTAAATGCTGGAATAACCTGCCACCTCCACCGACAGGCTGGGTTGGGAATTTAGTTCGTAATTTGATTTTGTTTAATAATTTTATTTTGATTGTTAACACTTTTTTAAGTGATAGCTGTCATCCCAAGACAGGCTGAAATTTTGTATTTTTGGTGACAGCAAGTTAAAACGTGCCGGCCAGGCGATTTGCCGATTTTTGATTAATGTTTAAATTTATTTGTTTGTAAAAATGCTAAAAAATTTACACAAGAAACAAATGTTATTATTTTTAAACCCTCTCACCAACGTTAAACACCGGCCTATATTTATTTTGTTAATACAATATCGAGTACTATGGATCTAGATTTTATTTAACGACATACACTGTTTGATAAGTTATGGGGTAATTTGGACGCTATAGGCAACTATTATCCATCGCATGACCTCCTTAACTGGGTGACCTAAACATCGATACATCGTATTCCGTATAAGGAAAACCAAACCTTCAGAAAAATAACAAGGTTCTATTTTATTTAACATCATTTTGTCTAGAGTCTATGTAAAAATCAAATTACGTATTTAATTTTAGATGTAACTATTATAGCGATGTAAAGTTTGTGTGAATCTAGTATGTGCTCGTGAGATGCTGGTATGTTGCTTTGTGGTAGAGGTATTTTAATGAATGTACGTAAATCTCCTGCTGTCTTGTTTATATAGTGCAGTATAATCTCCGTAATTGCCAGTTTTTAAAACGTATCTAGTAACTGTAACATGGAGTCTTCTACGGACTAAAGTGGTTAAATTTTCTTTCACACCTTGTGAAAGTCAACAAATAACTCGCAAAAAATCGAATGTTTTTATCTAATATGTAAAATTCTCGTGTCGCGGTATTTGTAGTTAAACTCCTCCGAAAAGGCTCGACCGATTCTCATGAAATTTTGTGTGCTTATGTCTGAGAATCGGATGACATCTATTTTTCATCCCCCTAAATGTTAAGGGTAGTCCACCCCTAAATTTTTTTTTTTTATTTTTAGATAAATTATTTATTTTTTTATGATACAGCATTAAAAAATGCATATAACCCCTAATTTTCATCCCTCTAGGATCAACCCCTATTTTTTATTATAAATGATATACATGGCAAAACGACGTTTGCCGGATCAGCTAGTATATTTATGTAAATAAAAAATCTGGTCGTCAACTATTGTTATTTTCACACCCACTCCAAAATAAGTTTTATAGTTGTTAGTTGATGATATAGAAGTAGGTAGTAGAAGAGTGACATAGAGTTTATCGCCAGTTCTTCTCGTCTGTTCTACGCTCTCGATTTGAGAACCGGTAGTAAATGTAAATTAAGAAGTATTAATTATTTTCTGACGCTCATAAGTGGATATTAAGTTACCAACAAGAACAAACGATATTTTGATTTGAAGCGCTAATCACTAATCAGCCTTCAAGCCTACATAACTAACAAATTCTTGTGTCACGGGTTATCAAAATGAACCTCTGGCCAAGTATCTCTATAATTTGCCTTAGAATACGAGTGATTAGTTCGTAAACACTGAACATTGTTTTAGTTAATTTATTTTATATATTACATAAGGATGCAACGAGCGGCCTTATCACTAACAATCTGTCTTCCAGGGCCCACACACCTCTTCTCTCTTAAATAATTCGGTTTCGGGACCAATTAGTTAGTTATGTCGTATAGTAACCAGATAACACCTTAATTTTTGCTGGCCTGTCCAAAAGATAACATTATCGCTGCTCATTGTACGTAACAGTAACAATCAGTATTGAATATACAACCGGTCGTGTTGTGTGTGTCAAAATGATGCTCACTGACGTAAATGGGACAGAGGTTAGAATTTTAAAGTTGTAATTACTTACAGCCGTATTTATGTAATGCTAAAACTATTATGATTAGATATCTAAGAAAAGTTAGAACAGTCCTTTTTAGCTTCTATTTGGATCTATGATGAACTTAGAATATTGCTACCGTTTGACATCGTAATTTATAAATGTTTATACAACTGTTGAATGACCAAGCAATGAACTACCAGAGAGCACAAATCAAATAAATCGAAATGTAGATTATATTTTCATTGTTTACATTTTTTTCTTTAGATATAACATCCTATCAATATAGACATCATCAATTCAGTACTTCAGACACTTGATGTATGATACTTAGTGAGTTCGTTGTTAGTTAGTTGAAAAAAAGTTACACTAACATTTGAAATACGGTATAATATTTAGATCTCACTATTTTTTAATTATTCGCATACCGGTTTTGTTAATTGCGAGCCTAATGGAATTGATATCTTGAATAACAAACGTTGAGTTAATATTTTTGTCTTTTCTGATACTTAAATATGTAGTTTTGCCTTAAAATTAAGCAAAAATGCGTTGTATATTGCGTCAGCCACTCACAAGTCTAAAGCGACTTAATCTGCTGTCCAAGGCCTGCAAACATTTATCCAACAAATAATCTATCGTAATATTTGCTCGTCGTCCGCGATTGACGCCTAAGACCGTTATTAGAGCGAATTTAATCCTTATGATATCTCATTTATGCAGGATTAATAATTTTTTACGCATTTTTATAATTTATGGACTCAAATAAAACCAAGTTTCATGCTAGCAACCGTAAAGCGAGTCCATTAAACTATCATTAACTACTTATAATAAACGATGCAACGCAGCAACAAAATTATAAACTCGATTAAATGCCGTAACGACATTCCTTTCTTATAATAATTTGTATTTTTTAATTATTATAAGCTAACATAGGATGTAAAATTTAATACTAACGCTATAGTCCTGCGTAGACTGTTATTTTTGCAATAAATAGACAAATTAACCGGACGAGAATAGTATAAAAACATTACAAATTACAATACTAATAATTGTTAGTATGATTTGAAACGTACCTACGTATTTAAAATATGCATTAATCTTTTTAAGGTTTAAAGTGGTTTTTATTCTCAATAATCGCTTTATAATCTCTTATGAATAAAAAAATATGCTTGTTACAGGAAGCCGCAGAAGAACTAAATAAAAAGCCGAAAAGTGATGGGAGCGATGCACTGGAGTCAGTCATTATGCATGTGGGTGAAATGGGATTATACCAGAAGTTGTTATTTGCAATGATGGCTCCGTTTGGGATATTCTTCGCATTTGTGTATTTCGTTCAAATGTTTATTACCGCAACGCCACAACGCCATTGGTGTAGAGTACCAGAGCTGGAACATCTGGATATGGAAGTGAGGTATGAAACAATAATTATTATGCTGGGTATTGTGTATCTCCGCAATAATCTCAACAATTAAAGAAATGGTTATTTCCTATAGCAGTATATTTTATTTATATCGAGCAGTCTTTCCCATGGCTATGTTTCAATGAATTATTCTTTTTTTTTCCATAACACATTTACTCGGACGGTAAAGAAAAACGGAATATACGAATATACTCGTAAAACCCAAAAATCGACGATGCGTAGTCTAATCACTTAATCAGCCAACCATTAAAATTAACGCAGAGCTTACCCCATACATTATTAAAGGTTTATAGAACATCATAATGTAATAAATGTTTAGTAACCTTAGTAAACATTTGTTAGCAAACATTTACTCACAAATGTTAAAAATGTTTTCATTTTAGAAAATGTTTAGTAACAAGTTAACAAATTATAACAAATTAAAACATTGCTATTCCAATGAGCAAATCCTCTTCCATTTTCGTGGAGGCGCCCCCAGAACGCAAACCAAACTGCGAGCCAATACCAGATTTAAATGTTAGTAAACATTTTCTATTAGTGTAGGAGCACTTATAACATGTAACAGTTCCTAACAAAATGTAACAATTGACAACATTTACATTTTTAGTAAATGTTTTTATGTTAGAAAATGTTTACTAACATTTTCTAACGGCAATGTGGGAGCACTATTATATCCATATCTTTCAAGTACGGTGATAATAAACGATTAATTTTAGCCAATAAACAAAGTTACTTTTACATGGATCAATTACTCCAGGATGTTAAAGTTGCTTAAGTATTTTTGTTTATAAATAAAGTAATGTAGGTTTTTGTAAAGTAATGTAGATACACGGAAATGTAAGTTTTATCATTTATCTAATAAAGATCAAATTCCGTTATTTTTCAATTTTAAGAAGTCAATAATTTCCAGAGCTCATAACGCAAATACAATTTAACAATTTTGAAGGATCCTTGTTGTTTAAAAATGCTTCTCTGAAAAAAAATCAATCTTCAAATAATGTATAAACATAGTTTATAATTACTATGTTCAGTAGTCGAACTGACCACAGAATATATTTTTGAAATCTAACACCGTGTTTGTTCTGCACTCTTGAATGAGGAATGTCTTTTATTAAATAGTTTACTAATGAAAACAAAAAATCATGTGACGATGCAATATAAATTGATTTAAGTGTTGTCTACCAAATCGTCGACTTACATAATAATACTTTAAAACAAATACTATTCTACTAAAAACAATTATTTTGTGTAAAACTTGATCAGCGCTCCGAAGAAAGTTGAATTGATCGATTGATTGGGATCGCGTTGTCAATATCATTGTTATATTATTGTACTCAATGTGTGTGACTAACCATCGCAATGTTTGTACTGAAGACTACTTACGCGCTTACTTGATATTTTTTTACTCATCTTGCACATATACATTTCGCCATACGAACTAGATCGGTTAACATAGAGATTTTGTTAGACCCAGCATCCACCTGGGCAAAAATTTGCATGGAAAGAGTATGTACCTTTATTATAAAACAAGAATTATATCTGCACATGTCTCTAGCCTACTTCTATGTGTGTTAATGGCACATCCAAAATGCTAAAATAACTGTTTATCGCTAATTTTATTGCTTTTAAATACATACATTGTACATTTACATTTCTCACTGAATGTTATATATGTATGATACTATTATCGCCAATGTTGACAGAATGAAGCAATGGTAAGATGATATGAATTTATGATAAGTGATTTTACGTATCCGTAGAAATAACGATGTATCAAAATGAAATTAATTGATAGCAAATCTGATTGAGGAAAATAAATAATTAAACACCAAGGATCCTCAAAATTGTACAATGGTATTTGCGTTATTATGGGGGGAAAGAAAGTTGGGTTTTAAAAAAAGAAAAAAAACGAATTTGATTTTTATAATATAATGATAAATTGATTTCCGTAGATAATCTTATCTAGATTTGATAAATTTATTATTAATGAGTAGTTGAATAGTTTCTTCCCCGGTTACCAATATTGATAACATAATTCGAAAATTTGTTGACCATTTGACATAACAGTGATTGGCGTGCCCGGCGTTCAGGGCCTGGGCCAGCCTAGAACTCAAAGTCTTGAAGTAGGCATGGAAGCTCTCCTATTATATATTATGCTCAAGTACGAGTACCATCCTTATTGTCTCATTTCTAAATGTCTAGCTAGAATTTACATTTTGTCTCATTCAGTTACCTTATGTTGCTTAGCAAAGCGTATTACCATTTTGCACTCATAAAACTTGTATTCATATTACACTTTACCTTTTTTTATTTTTAAGAGATACAAACTGCCGGCGAGTTACAACCATATAGGTATATAAAAAAATATTATCTTTTTCTGAACATCTGAAACATTATCGTTTTTCATAGATAGCTATGTAGCAATTGATACAGTATCTTAATCTAATAATTTTGATACATCATAGGTGGTTACCAAGCGTACGGAACCTTCCAGATTCATTAAGTCAAACATATTTTTACTTGAAATTAATTTTATGGATTATGGCTATCATGTACCCTTTATTAGTAAATACAAAATCAATCTAATCTCCAACTCCTCTCAAAATCTCATATCTAGAGGGCAACCAGCTGATTAGCGATTCTCAGTATTAAAGCCTCAGCTAGCATCGGAATACTGTGCGTTGACATAACGAATTACGTTCAGTTTCGCGGTCATTTGATTGGAAAGGGCCATCGCTTGCAACCCTAAAAAGCGCAAACTCGGCCCCGGCGGAGTACCTAATGTTCTCACTGGGCCAAAGCTCCCCAGTAGCTAGTCCTTCCCCTTGACCGTATTCAACGAAGATATACGAATCGTCAACGTCCAGTCACTTTCAGAGACACTTGATCCCTTGACGTTGCATAGAGATGTGGGATCTCTCTGCTTCCTCTACCGCATTTACCATGGAAAGTGTTCGGAGGAGTTGTTCGAATACCTGAAGCTGAGTTTCATCATCGATATTCGAGGCATACAGAATACGAAATTCCACCCGTATCACCTCGATGTCCTTCCTACCACAACTGAGCGTCTTTAAGGCATTTCTTTCCGCGCATCAGCACTATGTAAAGCCGGCTTCCCGCAGAAATATTTCTGAATCAATTCTGCTTAGGGTCCTACAATATAAGGGCTACCCATTTTTTAAATGCTGGCGAGCCTTTTTGAAGTATGTCTATGGGCCTCAGAGTTTAATTTTTTCTAGAAAAAAATATTTTGTTAAATTGTCTACCTCATAAATGTGAAGGTTTAGTAAACGTCACTTTATATAGTCTATGCCTGTGTCTAGTCTATGTTTTTCGGATTTAAGGACTCCCACACAAAACTGCGATGCGAATTTCTGCGATACGATTTAGTGCGACAAACCGTTTGGTAGGGCGACCATTCCTTCGTAGTCAGCCGTACTGGACGTGTTTTTAGGACGCGTAAGATGGATCGCAAAAAGATAATTGCACTGCTGTTATTGTTAAATAGATATAAAAGAAAAAGAAGATTCTGGGTTCATCCATTTATTACGATTATGAACTCTGATGCAAACTTTCACAGACGCTCTTCCACGCATCTTGCTTAATAAATTTATTTTTATAATGTTCATCTCTTGTGTCCCAAAAGACGGGACGCTCCTCAATTAAAAATATTAAAAAATCCATATCATATTCCGCAATTTTTTATAAACAAAGAAGGCGGCGGAGCCGCCGCGCGTCTTTCTCTAAAGATGTCTCAGAGCGGACTAAAATGGTGAAGCAGATCGGAACTTCTTGCGGTGCGTTCGTGCGAATTCGCAGATATTTGCGATGCGATGCGAATTCGCAGTTTTGTGTGGGAGCCCTAATTCAGTAAGACATGACACAAAGCAGTGTTAGCCTAGTGGCTTCAACAGTGTTTTCCTATGTGTATTGATGATTTCAATACACATAGGCAATTTATATTGAAATCATCATATTCGGTCTGTTCTATACTTTGTAGTCATTAATGGCCGATATTATAGCAATAAAATGTCATCTCTAAAACTTTAAAAAGCCGAATACATACCGAAATTTTAATATTTACATACATTTACTCTTCGTTGTGATTGTTTTAAAGCCTAGTTTAGTCTAAAATCTTATTATTTGAAAGATAAGTATTGTTGTGTTATCGTGTCATAGTGTCACAATATATGATGTAACACATTTTAACTGACTTAAACATATATTTGCAGTGGTAATATTCTTGTAATTATCTATTGTTTTGTACTACCTTGATTTTTATAATTGCCTTTTGATATTTGTTCATATGAGCACAGATGCTTATCTAAGTGTTTACCGGCTCCTTTTTACGTATACATGATTTATGTTTGTGTGTCATGTCTAAAATAAAATAAATCAGTGGCGCTACAACCTTTTTAGGTCAGGTTCTGGTCTCAGATTTCTGTATTTCTGTATCTTATTCATGATTATTTCATAATTTGTCAATTTAATAGGCAAGTAGGTGATTAGCCTCCTGACACACGCCGTTGACTTTTCGGTCTTAGGCAAGTAGGTTTCCCCAAGATGTTTTTTTCACCGTTTGGACGAATGGGAATTCGCAAATAGAAAGAAAGTTCATTGGTGCATAGCCGGGGTTCGAACCTACGACCTCAGGGATGAGAGTTGCACGTTCAAGCCACTAGGCTAACACTGCTCTGTGTCATGTCAAATGCCGCATTTACATTCAGCCGTAGTGAGCAGGGAAGTGGGCAGGACGAGTGTGTAAACGCGATACTTCATATGAACTGAGTTAAAACCCAAAAACATAGACTAGACTATATAAAGTGACGTTTACTAAACCTTCACTTTTCGATTTTATCAGAACTTAATGTCTCTATAGATTGGCCGGACAGTTTATTTACCGACTAAATGGCGGGTAACAGCTAATACAGTATTAAAACAAACATACAGCAACACAATTAGGTCTAGGCTGGCTATAATTATAACTAATTTTACGAATTATTCGTTTAGCTATCATGTTTAATGGTAGCTATTTAGTTTATTGCTGCAGCGAACGTACGTAACATTCATTACATTTTTATTTACGCGAGGATTTTGATGTATAAATGTATATCTGTAAAAGTTTTAATTTGCCTTATTACATATTTCATCATATGATAATCTGTCTGGTTATCTCCTTCTAAGCTTGACACCTTAAAAAAATCACACAGATGCCCCTTCTGACACTACATACAAGTATATATGCGCCAATGACTAAAGACGTTTAGGTTTGATCTGTTTTCAACAATATCGATAAAGTCTTGTTGACTTGAAATAAAAAAAGGATTGAATTTTAACTCTACGTAATCAGTATTAAGCACCAATTAAGATTGCCTTAAAGGATTGTAAAAATATTGTAATTAATTATTCAAAAAAGTCTTATATCAATAACATCTATATAACTGGTATCTATATTATTATTAAATACTGTCCTTGGGATAGACAGTAAAGACGATTTGGTAGTTTCGTTTAAATGTGATTGGTCTAGACATGATGTCTGTATCGTGTTACATCTTCACTCGACATTTTTGCACGATTTTACGGTTTGAGCCAAATAAGTGCTTTGATGAAAAAACTCATTTTAGATATTATATGAATATAGGGAGAAATCTTTAAACTTAGCTTACTAGCTTGAAACCTACTTGACTTATCGCTAGCACATTACAATACATTTCAATTAAAAACTAGCGACCCCCTACGTGGCGAAGGACTAGCAGCTAGTATTATATAATACTATCTGCCACCGCAAACTTCGTTTCTCCTTAATGTGATTTTACTTAGCGTTTAGTACATATCAACATGGAACAATTTGCTATGCTACCCCAGAGACAGTTCGATTTTCTGAAATGAAAACTTTTTAGGTTGTTCTGTGAATTTTTCTCTATATAAACCTCAGAGATCATGTCATAAGTTTTTAATAAAAAATAGGGGTTAATCGTGGAGGTGTGAAAATTAAGGGTTGTATTTATTTTTGTATGCTGTATCATAAAAAAATAAAAACAAAAAAGTTTGTTTTAAAAATAAAATAAAAGTTTAGGGGTGGACCACTTAGTCGTTCAAAAGATAGTAGCCGATTCTCAGACTTATTGAATATGCATAAAAAATTCATAAGAATCGGTCGAGCCGTTTCGGAGGAGTATGGGAACGAACATTGTGACACCAGAATTTTAAAAATTAGATAAAAGTTAGACATATGCCGTCACTGCATTTTTTGCAGCCTGTTATCTGTCATCGTTAAGGCAGTATTCGAAAGAAACGTTTTTGTCCCCATTGCAAATTCGACTTCTACGAAAAATCAGAAACTCTATAATATTAGTAAAGATGGGGTTTTATATCTCTGACTTAGTAAAAACTCTCATGGTCACGATTTGATATACTAGATTTGCATATGACGTTTTTGCACCTACTTTTTCTGTTTTTTGTTCTGCGGCCTTGTTGGCGCGACTATAAATAAATACATTTGTTACAGACGCAACTTAACAACACCAGTCATAGGTGATGAATGGGAGAAATGCTTGATGTATGACACTAATTGGACAGAAGTTCTTATTAATATGACTGCTCCTATCACCGCAAACCTGATTCCCTGCAGAGACGGCTTAGAATTTGAACTTGGGGATATCCCATACCATACAGTTGTTAGTGAGGTATGTATTTATTTAAACATTATTTTTGTACCTTATAATATATCCTTAATATTAAATACCATACAAAACATTAACAATAGGCATTTCTGAGTATTTGCCTAAAGTAAAGTAATCCAGTTTATACGTGTATTGTGTTTATGTTTAAAATATGTGGTTTTAATATGCAACGCACATGTATTTTATACGAATTCAAGACTTTGCTTAACCAAGAAGCACCTGTCTTACTCTTTATATAAAACAAAACGTGTAGCAGTTACCGTATTAACTAATTTGTTATAAGATAGTAAACTACATATATTTTAATTGGTTTATTTTCCATTCTTTATGTCTAAGTAATGAAGTAATCTTATGTATTGCAATTTTATTAAGGCCGCCCGTTGCCATCCTTGTTTAATTATTTTATTGTATTGTATTTCTTGAAACGGAGTGCAAATAATTAAAAAATATGTAGGATTATTTTATATTACTTTGTCAAAGTCAAAAATCATTTATTCACGTAGGTAACATAATGTACACTTATGAACATCAAAAAGAAATATATGCTTTTAATTTTACATTTACTGCCAGTTCTCAAATCAAGGGCGTAGAATGGAAGAGAAGAACTAGCAATAAACTCTCCGGCGTCTCCGCCACTCTTTTTAATCGCCAAGTTTTTTGTTTTACACATCGATTGTAAGGAGCTGTAACCATTACACCATGTTCCATATGACATCTTAAGTAATAAATAATAATAAAATAAATAAAGAAAAAGGCATGGTGAAATAAGAGCACGCACTTACTTACATTTTCGTATTCAATTTAATGTCATTAAAATGTCGCTGTATCGTACAGATAAAATAGTAAATGAGTCATATTTGTAGTAACATAATAACCAAATTGTATTTACTTTTAAGTTTATTTTTTTAGTTCAGTACATTGTCTATTGAGTATTAAGAAATAGTAGGTAGCATTTTACAAACAGACTTAATCTGTTGTGCCCTTTTCAGCGAAGTTGGGTCTGTGAGAAAGCCAGCTATGCACCAATAGCTCAAGCCACCTTTTTCGCTGGTTCCACCGTCGGCGGTATCCTCTTCGGCTGGATAGCTGACTTCTATGGCAGGGTGCCAGCTTTGGTTGGTAAGAGTTTTTATTTAGGTCTAGTATTTGATGTTGTTTATAAAATCTTTATTATATTATTTTACCAAACATATATAATATATTTTACTGTTTCATTTTGAAATAGAGATACAGAATTTCTGCGTTGGTTTCTTTGATAATAACTTTAAGACAAGTAGGTTGTTTCGCTGGGAAACGAACTCCCAAAGATCTTTGGTTATTCACTACGATAGAAAATTATCGTACTCTGTTCACATAGATCATTATGTCAATTCAAAAGCGTATAAAAAAAATCTGCCTTTCGTATTTAATTGTCCGGGTTCCAACCTGGGGATCAAGAACTTGATAAGTATCAAAACGGAACATTACTTTTAGTACATTTGAAAAATCCTATTTATAGGTACTAAAATTTGACTCAAACAATGATACAAGTCATTGCTTGCGACCACTATAATTAATCAAAGGATCCGATCAATTTGGAACCATTCAAAATTAATACATAATAGTGATGAAAATTGAGGAACTAAACGATTAGATTCAATTAATGACAAAACCGATGTCATTTTTCTGTTTTAAATTTAAATTGTCATAATACATTTTGTTACCCTAAAATTTGATCTACATGCGGCCTATTCTTTAAACACTTAATTTTGACGCCTCTGACTTTAATTTATTTTGTGGTTCGTGTGGTCGGATCTTCAAAAATGTTCCTCATACCGTCAAGCTTGCATGCATCATGTTGCAAATTTAAATTAAGTAATCAATACTTAATATATTTATTTTCAAGAAACACTATTATTTTTTGTCTCGTGGTAGATCTTTGATACATTTTGTCAATACCTTATGCATATTGGAAGTCGAACAGAATCAGTCACTGCGATTGACATAAGAAACAGATCAGTGCGTCGAGATGGTTATTAACGTTGTTATTAAATCTTTTTTCAGGAGCCAATATAATTGCATTCGTTGGAAGTGTTGCCACAATCTATACAACTAGTTTATGGGATTTTATCATATCTCGATTTATCGTCGGCATGTCCTATGACACTATATTTATGGCTATGTATATTTTAGGTAAGCATAATTTTTATTTTACATATCCAAAGTACGTACAATATTTGTGATGTTGGATTAAATATAAATAATAAAAATTCAAAAGATTTTAAAAATTGTGAGGTCATGTAAAACTGAGTGAAGAAGATGCCATGGCTGTGAATCTTTTTTCCCATCAGCTTTACATAATTAAATAAATATTTAATTAAAATTGATTTAAATAGACATTGTGCTTTTGGCGTTTTAAATAACAATGCAAAATAATAAATAAAGTTTTCTATACAAAATTTATTTAAATCTCTTCATTATCTTTCAGCCTTAGAGTACGTTGGTCCCCGTCACCGTACATGGGTTGCAAATATTTCTATCGCAATTTATTTTGGCGGTGGTTGTCTAATGCTTCCCTGGATAGCTTTAGCCGTTGGAGACTGGAAAAAATTGCTCTGGTACACCAGTTTGCCTTATCTCATCGTGGTTTTCGTGCCTTTTATTGTACCTGAAAGTGCTAGGTGAGTTTTTAATTAATGGATATTTCTCTGCTAGCTGTCGCATACACGTAAAAAGTTGTCGTTAGTTTATCAATATTTGCATCAAAAAATCATTGCCAAACCTCTCAAACTACAATGTTTATGTCTGTTTGTCCATTATTACCCAAATAATAAAAACAATAGAAGCTAGACATACATAACCGGGGAATTATGCATTAAAATATCTTAAATAATGGAGCATAAAAATATGAAATAATATGGACTCAATCATAAATTGGCTTCCCATATAGGTACATAAGTAATAATCAAAGTCAATTTTATGGCATCCCTGACTGGTAGCTGTTCAATAATAATAACTTTTCATAGCCCGTGCCGATTGAAGTGGACAATTCACGAAAATAATTTTTGCTTACTTTTGATCGTAACAATGTGAAATATATCTAGAGTGTTTTTTATTACATTTGTTTATATCCAAAGTGGTTTTGGCACTTTATGGATGACCTTATACAGTGAGATTTAAATTAATTTTAGATGGCTTGCGTCTCGGGGCAGAGTGAATCAGGCAGTAAAAGTCTTGAAGCGATTTGAAAAAGTCAACGGCACTACAATTCCTCAAGATGTATTGGATGATTTTATTGTGAGTACTATTTCGGAATACCAGCCTGATATAATATAAAAATTGAACGTTAAATCATCCGTTATTTTATCTTATGAATAAATAAATTCAATAAATAAACCTCTATGGATTAAAGGTATATAAGCTGAAGGTCCTAATTTTAATTCTCGGCAAAGCTAAAATTCGGGTTGGTATTCACATGAATAACTAATTACATGGTACCTTGTAACAAACATGTACAAAATGTACCTACTAAATTCCCTGATCTGTTTTTTTATTAGACAACGAAGTGTGAAATCAATCAGCAACATTGCAAATAATCGTATTATGTAAATTAAAACTTTTATTGTAATACTAGCTGCCCCCGCGAACTTCATTTCTCCTTAATGTGATTTTACTTAGCCTACCTTTTTAGTACATACCAACATGGAACATTCTGCTATGCTACCCCAGAGCCTTTTCGGTTTTCCGGAAAGAAAACTTTTTAGGTTTTTCAGTGAACTTTTCTCTATATAAACCTCAGAGTTAAGTCATAAGTATTTATTAACAAATAAGTTGATTGTAGAGGGGTGAAATTATAGGGTTGTATGTGTTTTTGTATTATGTACCTATCATAAAAAAAATTGTCTAAAAAATAAATTTTTGGGGGGACACTCCTTATCACTTAGGGGTTTGAAATATAGATAGTAGCCGATTCTCAGACTTACTGAATATGCATAAAAAATTTCATAAGAATCGTTCGAGCTGTTTCGGAGGAGTAATATGACACGAGAATTTTATATATTAGGTCCTTACATATGAAATTGGCGTATTTCGTACTGCCACTTTAATCACGATGTTCTCCTCTTTGGTAAGGAATTCCAAACTAAAATTTGTACAGCTATTCACTCATGTATTTGTGCTTCGATGAACGTCATTCATTTGTTTTTTTCTGTTTGCGTCACTCATTTGACAAAATGGAAAACTTAAAATATCGCATTATTTACGAGTACGAGTTCCGCCGTGGCACTAGTTCTGCGGAAACGACTTGAAGGGTGAATGATGTGTATGGCGGTCATGTTGCAAAAGAAAACACAGTTCGTTTTTGGTTCCAACGTTTTCGTTCTGGAAATTTCGACCTGCAGAACAAGCCCCGTGGACGGCCTGAGACCCAAGTTGATAATGAAGTATTGAAGGCTATTGTGGAAGCGGATCCATCGCAAACCACGTCCGAGTTAGCTGCAGGCTGCGGTGTTAGTGATAAAACTGTTTTAATTCACTTGAAGCAAATTGGGAAGATTAAAAAGCTTGAAAGATGGGTACCTCACGAATTGACTGAAGCAAACCGGCAAACGCGCGTCGACTGCTGCGTTACATTACTGAACCGGCACAATAATGAAGGTATTTTAAACCGAATCATTACCTGTGATGAAAAATGGATTCTTTACGATAATCGGAAGCGCTCAGCGCAATGGTTGGATCCTGGCCAGCCAGCCAAATCCTGCCCCAAGCGAAAATTAACCCCAAAAAAGTTACTTGTAACCGTTTGGTGGACTAGTGCCGGTATTGTTCATTGCAGTTTTCTCAAATCTGGCCAGACTATTACGGCTGATGTCTATTGTCAGCAATTGCAAACCATGATGGAAAAGCTAGCGGCTAAACAACCTAGACTGGTCAATCGCTCCACGCCACTGCTACTTCACGACAACGCTAGACCACACACTGCACAACAGACGGCTACCAAATTAGAAGAGCTTCAATTGGAATGTCTAAGACATCCTCCGTACTCACCGGACCTTGCTCCAACAGATTACCATTTTTTTCGAAATTTGGACAACTTCTTTCAAGGGAAAAAATTTAACTCTAATGGGGCAGTCCAAATCGCCTTCACAGATTTTATTGATTCCCGTCAGACTGTTTTTTTTTAGTAAAGGGATCAATGAACTACCTATGAGATGGCAAAAGTGCATAGAAAACAATGGTTCATACTTTGATTAATTAAATATATTATATTTAAAAATATTCGACTTTTTGTTCCTCCCATACAAAACGCCAATTTCATATGTAAGGACCTAATATATAGAGATATAAAAGTATAAATACGCAAGATTATTCAGAATTATAGATTATTTAACTCAAAACACATGAACAAAGGATTCATGCAATAACTAGTCTGTACATATACTTAAATGATAAAATTGCGGTCACAACATGCATTATTCATAAGCATAGTCGTAACCCGAATGACTACGAACTACCGTTTTGCACTTTACAAAATCTCAAACCATTGTTCTCCGACGGGGAGAAGCCTTATTTATTACCAGTAATGAACGCTCTTTTTAGATGTCGCATCAGGATTTTATAACTTAGGGAGCGTTCAAGTATTACGTCACGCAGTTTTTGGAGATTATTGAACCCCCCCCCATGTAACTTTGTCTGTACCCAAGTATAGTAAAACGTTTTGTGACCACATAGTGACTCTTTATGCCTAAAAGTTACCATTATGTGGTGTAAAGTACTGGAAAGTCGAAAATAATATTAACAATAACGCGTAATTCAATCCCCGACCCGCATCGTAACGTTTTATAAATGGACCCCTCGCCCCCAAATTCGTTACGTAATACTTTAACGCTCCCTTATCTAGTAGAATAAAACCTCGTAAGTTATCCTACGCACTAAGGCATACGAATTCTCAAAAATGTTCTCGAATCTATAGTAGTTATAAATCCTTTAGATGTTTACAATTATTATACTTGATTATTTCATACTTAGATCATTATACCAATGATCAATTATAATTTTTGCACTATCCCAGAAGGGATACATTTTCCAGGATCACACTTTCCCGATTCTCCAACTATGCCTACGCCAAATTAAACCTTATCTTGATTCAGTCCTGAAAGTTTATAAATTGGTTTAAAAACAGCACCTAAAATCAGAAACACTAATATATATTACTTAATTTTAAAAGGTGTCTGCAAGTCAAACTCGTCAGAACAAGCAGGAGTCCATCAAAACTGTTTTTAAGAGCGGCCCTCTCCGAAGGATGATGTTTCTAATGGTGATGGCATATATGGCGTGTGCGATTATCTTTGATGGCCTCGTGAGAATGTCAGAGGGTCTGGGATTGGATTTCTTTATCACATTTACACTGACTTCAGCGACTGAAATACCCTCCGTTACGCTATTGGCATTGGTATTGGATCGGTGAGGAATATTTTAAATTATTATTTTGTTTCCCTACATAGTGAACTTGAATAAATTTTGCATGATCCTGACGAAATAAACGTCAAAATAGTAAATAAATACAATTTCTTATGAGTAAGTATTTTTAAAGTACGAAGAGCGCGACGAGACGCGCGAAGGGACGCGAAGAGAAAATCTAATAGAAAAATACAAAATTCCTTGTAGATATTATACAAGACAAATAATAGATATATTAATTTAAAATGTTTACAAGCATTGACGAGGTCATTAACTCCATACATATAATCGCAATGCCTTTTGAAATTCTCATAAAAAATGTTGCTTCTATCGAAACTCTACATGGAGAAACACAATAACAAAAAAATCAGAACAATATAAAACATTGAAATAAATAATGATGTTCTGAAAACTTTACAGTGAACGTATGTGTTTTCAGATGGGGAAGAAGAAATCTTGTATGTGGACCTTTAATAATATCTGGAACATTATGTTTTATTGCAGCTTTTGTACCGAGAGGTATTTAACATTAATTTTTTTTATTTAAACACATTTTTATTGCATCAAAAACAAATGATGACACAAATTTTTTTCAAGGTATTCCTCAAGTGTCTCTGGCGATAATGGCCAGATTCATGATAAATATGGCGTATAACTCCGCCATGCAATGGTGTACAGAGCTCCTACCGACCGCTGTGAGAGCTTCCGGATCCTCACTTATACATGTCAGTGGATATGTGGCCACTTTTGTGTCACCATTCGTCGTGTTTTCTGTAAGTGTTAGAATATTGGTTATGATTGTAAAATAAAACAAAAATTAGCACAGGATATTTATAAAAGGAACCAAAACCAAGTTAGGGAGCGTTCAAGTATTACGTCAGGCAATTTAACGCGCCGTAACGTTTCTCTGTACCCAAGTATAGTGAAACGTTTCGTCACCACCTAGTGACTCTTTATACTTAAAAGTTACCATTATGTGGTGTGAAGTCCTGGAAAGTCGAAAATAATATTAACAATAACACGTAATTCAATCCCCGCCCCGCATCGTAACGTTTTACAAAAGGACCCCCAAAATTCGTTACGTAATACTTGAAGGGGATAGTAAGGGAGCCTTAGCTACACAATACAATAACTAAAATATACTAATCTAAATCTTATAATTAACTTAAATAAATAAAGACGCCGGGAGGATTTTGGTTTATCCTACCAAACCTGGTAATGTTTACGACATAAAACAAATTGTTATTTTATTATTCTATAATTGGAGGGCCTAATTTGAGGGCATACCCCAAAGATAAACAAAAAGTAAAATATTTCAAATAGCTTCACAGCAAAATAAAACTAAACCTAGCTTAACGAATTATTTTTCCTTAGAAGTCTATGAAAACCTTTGATAACTTCAGAGTTTATTTGAACTAATAGAATTTAGATAAATTACTCTTATTTTACCATAGTCCTTTTAAATATTTTGTTTTCCAGGAAAGAATATGGCGTTCATTACCACTCCTTATCCTGAGTGTTATAGCAATGACAGCGGCTGTTTTTGGTTTTATGCTACCAGAGACAAAGGGCAGACCGATGCCACAAACAATAGAAGAGGGTGAAAGAATTGTACGGAGCTACACATTATGCGGGTAATTCTTTAATATGTACATTAGCATTATAGTGTTGGTGAGTATGTTTGACTAAAAATAATGAGTCTCGGATTGGAAACAGGATGGGCGAGAAAAAAGAGCAGACTACCTTATGGCAAGTTAGTGGGGCCCGGTTTAGACAAACCCGTACCTCGGATAATAATCGAAGCTGTCCTCCCTCCACCTGCTGTCGCAGTATTTCTACCTATGCTTGTTTACGAGTGCCACAGAGCCTGTGTTCACTATAATATTATGGTCCTATACCACCTTCGTACACGCGCCTTTATTTATATCGATATATTTATAGGAATTGCATTGAGTATTGAATGCTAGCTCAAGCTAGCTACAATTTTTCTTCTAGTTACACTTATTTTGTGTTTATTACCGGTTATTAGCAGCGATATATACAAAATTATCTCTTTATTTTACAGAAGTACTCCAGTAGACGAGACGGAAGCAGACAATGATAAAGAAAAAGCCCTTGACACATTAGTACCTACTTAATTCAGATATTCAACTGTATCCTATAAAGGAAACCTTGGATTTTAAAAAGGATAAATTGTACAATTTGGTTTGGTTCGTAATTAAGCCACTTGCAAAGAATGTTTGGTTATTTTAATTATTGTAAATTTATTCTGTAAACTAAAAAAACTAATTGATTTAGAAGAGACTTAATAATTTTTAAATACTTGTTTAATACGAACAAAACCTATTGTCAAATTGTTGACGAAATAGATATTGTATTTAGAACTGAGACCGCTCTTTGACGCACAACTAACGCCGCATACGTGAATAAAGATTTCAAAGTACACGGATTCAATAATAAAAAAAGAAAGCGCTTTTATATTACAACGCACAGAACTATTCAATAAACTATTTTTTAAACAGATTATTACTATAAGAGTAAGATCTCGTAATGGTGTTAATTCTAGTAATTAGTCATAGATATAAAACATTTAAATTGACATAATTAAACTAAAAATGAAGTCATAATTGTACCGATATTTGCGAGTTACTATTTATTTTTTGCTATTGACTGACGCCTAGACAATTAGTCGAGAGTCGAGATATTGAATATTGCGTCAGTCTACGAATAACAAAAATATAGTTCAGGACAAAAATAAAATCCAAACAGACTGATAACCCGTCTAGTTTACATTGAATTAGCACCAGTCTGTTGTGCAATGCCTTAATTAAAATTAAGTAAATATTAAGATATGTTGTTAACTTTAAATCGCAAAAAGTTTGTTTAAAGTTATGACAGAGTAGAATTAGAAAATAATTAAACATGAACGCTGTTCAAATTACGGTGCTTTTTTTATTGATTTGACTGAATGTATGTGTGTCTTAGTATGTATTTAAGAAAACGTGAAATTCAGTAAAAGGAATATTTAAAAAATATGTCGCCTTTTTCCAAAAGCACTAGCAAATTTTGGTGTAGTTTTCAAATATATATGAGATTATTATTATCAGTAAAAAAAAAGATGTATGTTATAAGACTAAATAGCCTATGATAAACATAATAGTGGCAAATAAAAGTCGCGTAATTATTAAATTTAATTAAAGTTGAAATTTACGATGACTTGAACTACAGAAGGTCCCTGGTCCCTAAGATAAAAATATAATATATCTAAATTCTAATTTAAAGCCGTCGAAAGAATACATTGAAGAAGGAGTTTTACTATTCTACGTCTTATATACGTATATGAATTTAAAAATTAAATAGTTTTAAAGTACCGAGTCCCTGCTAGTATTTCTATTCTGGGTGTTTTTGTTATTTTTAATTTACGCAATTAAATGTTAGTAAAGCAACATCTACTATAAAACTCGACCAAATGCATTTCCAACCTTATTTCATCAGGCAATTTATTTCCAACAAAAACGCTAACGAAGCATGCGACATTTATTTTAAAAAAAATATAATATATTCATTGTAGTTATTATTATATTTAAAAACAGGATCAATGTGACTCGAGTTAATTAATATGATACAATATTCAAGGTTGTACTTTGACTGTTCTTTTGTATTGCCGCATTTAATAATTTATTATTATATTACAAACCGCCACCCACCAAAACCAGAACCAATGCCGATTTCTATCTTAATAACCTTGATTAAAGACATCTAATCACGCATGTTCGAAGTTCCTTTGTGGGAAACTTTAAAATACGTGGTACCGAAATTTGATATCGAAATCGCTGTTGACAGGTTCGTGAAAGTCTTACAGATCAGACCATCTATCACCACTATAAGCAAGATTGTTTCAATATTACTGCGTGCACCAGCGTACCGCACGACAGCTAGTTACTCTATATTTTCGTGAAATGTCATCATCATGTCATATCGATCTTGCTTAGAATGGCTTTGATAGTCCTGGTAGAATAGCTATATTGAAAAACTGTCGTAACTAAATTACTGCCAGTTGTTATAAACTGTGATACCTACTTTGATAATTGTCAATTATTTTAAGTAATAAAGGTATTTTTAAGTATTATGTTTTTTTTTCTACTATTGATTTTGCCGATTTTAAATGTGTCACTAACACTAGAAAACTGAAGCTATAAGTTCGTACAATCCAATTTAGTAATCCCACATCACCATTACCTTATTTTAATTTTTTCCTTACTAAAGTTGTCCAATAACGCTTGTTAGGCAACATTGATGCTTCTAAGTCGTGCGATTGTAATCTTTACCTAAGACTCAGAGTCGAGATATAAATATTGTATTTTTACTGATTTACGCCAATAAATGACAGCGCTTTTATCAATACTAGGTTATCATTTAGTGATAGCGAAATATCCTATTAATTAATTTTCATACCTATTGATATCTTAGTAGCGTATCTTAGCGTGCGTAGAGTAGGTTTCAAAAAAAAACGTTGATAAAGTTAACTTAAATGGATCCGATACAAATTAGTGACAGTAAAAATGATATTGAGGTAAAAAATTCTTTAATATAATAATTCTATGAACATATATATGGTTTAGAAACATTGTAATTGAAGAATTAAAAAAATAATTATTCATAGCATAATTTTACTTCGTCATTATGAGTCGTGACTTGCAATTATATTTTTACTATATATTTGTATTATAATGTATTTTATAATTTTATGTAATTTGATATTTGTTATTAATAACTAAATACACACCATAATAGATTCCGTGAAGTTTAAGTTTGTTTTATTATTTTTGATTATATTATATTTATTGTTTTCTTAATATTAAAAAGTATAGAATGCCATTTTCTCCTAGTAACAGAATTAATTTAGGTAGCAATTATATTTACCCTGATATAGACAAATAAGATTGAAATTGCGTATTAGAACCAATGTCGCCGATGTGACATCAACCTTTAATAATAATAATAATAAAGTTTATTTTGCTTCTAATATTGCATTGTACGAGTTTACGATACAGGTAAACTTTAAATATTTTATATTTTCACCATGTTTCTTTTTTGACAATAAACTTAATGCTATCTATTATTGTGAGAGACTGGTACTTGAAAAAGGTTGGGAAAACCTGTTATTACAAGTCACCAGTCCCTCTTGGACATAGTGGCAAAAAGTATTGCTAATACAACTTTTAAAAACGAACAATAAATAATTTATAATAAAAAAAAATTAATATATATTAAAAAAAAATTGCAAGTCCGATGTACGCAAAAGCTATTTATGCATGATCTTTTCCTTCCCTACTTTCTTTGGTTCTTTAAAAAAAAATAAATTACTTACTTTGTAACCATACCAGAATATAAGCGAAGTGTAAACTGTAGGCTGTGAACTAACTTGTAAAAATGACTTTAAGATGTTTCTTAAAGTCAATCAATCAGTCTAGCGGCTTTTTAAGTCACACTGTTAATCTACTAGCACTAGTTTTAAATTAATTTAATAATAGTATTTTGGTTAGTTATCCAAAGTCCCGGGTCGTTAACTAAAGGGCACACCCTTTTGGCCAGTTTGATACATGATATTGGCTGAGTTACGTAGATTATATTTAAAAAAACAATTGAACATTTCACCAGAATGTTAAAGAAAAGCTGCGACCCAGTGATTCTGACAGTGATGCCTTCGAAGCAGTACTTCAGCACGTGGGTGAGATGGGACTCTACCAAAAGCTGCTGTTCTTCGCCATGGCTCCGTTTGGATTTGTCTTCGCGTTTAATTACTACACGCAGATGTTTATTACAGCAACGCCAAGCCATTGGTGCAGAGTGCCGGAGTTAGAGCATTTGGATGTTGAAATAAGGTATGTAGGGTAGACCGAGGCGAATCGGATCAAAATAAGAAATCTGTTGATAATTTAAATATCACATTTACATAGAACGCACTCAACCGGCGTTTTGTGTCTCTCCATTTACTGAGCACCTCCCGACATAAGCAGTATTTCGATCGCGCTTGTGGATCAGTGGCAATGGATATTTTCCTTTTTTTTAGTTTTTAATAGGTAATTAAGAGAATATATGTATGATTAAGGTTTTCAAATGTTTATTGCATAGCTAATTGTAACTTCTTACGATTTTATCAATAAATATAACAGTATATAACACTTTAGTATGATTTGCTCAACCTCAAAGAAAAAGTGATCCGATTCGCCTCGGTCTACTATACTTTATTCACCATAATTATTCAAGTCCCGTAATACTTCAGTGGACACATTTCTGCGTCTGTTTCATTCAAATTTTTACAAGAAGTGTTCTGACCCAAATGTTAGTATCCAGGAATCGTGCCCAGGATATACCATATGTGTGTTAACCACTATAAAAAGCTGGGTTTTAATTACATAATACGATCGATACTAACTACTCCCGCCAAACACCACACCCTTTTTAAAAATTTACCCCGGAGTTTCTAAAAGCATTATAAAGATAAACAGAAGAATTATAAACTTTAAATTAAAATTTCTCGAAATATTTACGCTACAAGTTTATTATAGACGTAATCTCACCACTGTGACCACAACCGAAGGGTGGGAAAACTGTCTGATGTATGACGCTAATTGGACCCAGGTATTGCAGAATATGATAGTGCCTTCCAACACATCACTGGTACCATGTAAGCACGGCTGGGAATTCCAGCTAACTAATATACCATATCATACAGTCGTTAGTGAAGTAAGTATGGCAAACAAATAATCAGTAAAATTTACTATTTTGTTCTTTGTATCAAGCATTCGAATCACGCTTGTTTAATAGACTTAGTGCTCAATCAACACTTGCTCGTACGGTGTAGAAAAATACTTTTTAAGGTAGCTGGCATGCCTAAGACTCAAAAATCGACGGGATATTCTAAACACGAAAAACTATCTCTGTAGGAAGAAGGTACTCAACAATCGGTGCTTTAATAATTTTTCTAGAAACTTTTTGCTTCAGCTATTGAAAGTTTGGTTTAACTTATTTCTTACCATTCAAGAAATAGAGGGCATTGGGTTTATAATTCCCATTACTTTATACTATGTTCTTAACTAAATTTTGTAATTGTTTAGCAAGAAAATAAACTATGCATAGTTTCATACTACACATGATTACTATTACAGAAAGCAGAAACATTGATAGCGAAAGCATCTCGCTCAATAGAAATATAAAGAATATTGTTTCAAAAAATCTGAATGAACTTAGGAATCTCGTCTTCAGTTACGTTAGGGAAACAGTAGAGATACAGACGCACAGTGACCTCGGACATTTATAGAGTTAAATAAAATGGTGTCGTTAAAATTGTTTATCAAAATAAAAAATCAATATATGACTTAATATTTTTCAGCGTGGCTGGGTATGCGAAAACGCTAGTAATGTACCGTTTGCTCAATCAATGGCCTTTGTTGGTTCCTTCCTTGGGTGTATATTGTTTGGATGGATGGCTGACTTCTATGGCAGAGTGCCAGCTATTACGGGTAAGATTATTCTTTAAAAATTCAATAGCATAAAGACACTTTATCATAAAGTAA